CACTATCTACAGATTTGGTGATACTGCGACACGCTATGCTTGTGCACATGCTCAAGGTGGTGGAACTACGGCAAGTTTGAGGCTACGGCTACGATCTTGCCGAGCCGATGCCGTAGCGTCATAACTTATCAGCCCCCAGATGCTCCACGCCGAATGGGACTGGGGAAGCACAAGAGAAGTGCCCACATATCTGTCTATCGATCGCGGAGGGCCTTGATAGGCCTGCATTGAATTGTTGATAGATACGGCGGGAATTTGTCCAGGGTTATCTAGCAAGCACCATGTGCAAGGTAAGGTGGAAGCCAGCTTATCGTGGTGTCGAGTGATGGCTGCAGTATTGCAGAGTTTCTTCGTAATCAAAATTACAGAGTCAGCAAATTCATTGATGCACTCTTACGTATAAGCAGCATCAGAATGTTTATGATCTATCACTTGGGGGGTATGGACGTTCGGACATGTGAACCCAATGCAGAACTTGTATTCATACTACCTAATCCGATCAAACTTGCATCGCCCACATATATACTGCATCTACAGGCGACTGATACGATTGGATGTCGTGCTCATCTCCTCACCACTACCACGCCATAACCCGCGAAGTCCTTTTGGCGAATCTGCAAACACAGGATCCAAAAGTGGTTTTGGTGTTGCCCAAACCTGCTCGTAATCCCCGCCGCTCACAACAAAGTCCCATTCGCCACTATTGTACGCGCCCATCATGGTGAAGCCGTCGAGCTCGATTTCTGACAAGGCCTTCTTAGGATCGTCTGCTTCGATGCCATGGCCTGTCCCCGGAGACAGCAGAGTCTGCGCAGCTTTTGGTAATGTGTTGTGTGTCTTGTGCGCGACGCCGGCAGGGATGACGAAGACGTCGCCGGCCTCGGCTTGGAGCGTGACGCCTCCTTTTTCCCAAGAATCGCCGTGTGTGTTGGCGTGGAGGTCATCTGACGTGTCTCCTACACCAAATCTGATGGTTGCCGTGCCTGATAGCACGGCCATGGTCTCGTGTGCTTGGGAGTGGAAATGAGACATCTGGGTATGGCCGTAGCGGACCAGCCAGGCCACGCGCCACCCGTTGTTCTCAAACATCTGCCAAGCATCTCCGGGACTGCACCGTCCAGTGGATTTGACCCGTGGCAGTACATTCTTGTAATGAATTAGTGGGCGAGGTGAGTTGGGCACCAAGTCCGTTGGGGGTAGGTGATATGTTTGTGCTTGAGGCATGATCGATAAAGGGAATTTGATATTTCCAGAAAACAATAAAAGGTAGATAATGGAGTCTTAGTATTAGATGATTCTTGAAATTTGACAGAGTGAATGGATCAAGTCACATATTTTATTGCGATTCCTATAGAATCTTCCCATGGTTTTGGGCACAACCGTGGCTTTCGGCAATGAAGCCGACCCGATATCGGGATGATCTCGCACCTAAACGAGCCGACCGAGTTGCCGTAGCGCTTTATGATCCACCGATCATAACACAGATGACAGATTACGCTACGGCTCATCAAACGCGGGGTAGATGTTATCAGCCTAAAATTCCAACTTGGAGCTGAAGGTCTTGCTTTAGATTGGCCTCACCTCTGGTGATCTATCAGAGTACCAAGTGATTACCGCGCGAGACATGCAAAGATCTCGGTCGGGCATCACTTTGAAGAGGTCGACTATTCTGGAATCAGGCGGTTGTTGGTACCAGAGGCAACAGCTATTCCCCTCTTTGTGCACAAGTCGGAGTGATGATATTGGTTCAGTTCAGTCCCTTGCGATACTTTTTGGTGTTATCTTGAGTGTGGCTCAGATAAGGTAGTTAAATGGATCATCTAGATACCCTCTAGCTTGGCATGGTTGGTCAGACCCTACCGTTATCAAGGTAGATCTTCAATGGATTTGGCGTAATACATGAGTATATGTTGGTATTTCCTGCCGCTGATCTGTATCGGAAGCGAACGTACCACTTATCCTCATCAGATGGCTCGTGACTGAGACTCGCTATGCTGCATACATATCGACGATTCATTGAGATAACACAAGCACGATACAGCTATCTAATCTCCACACAAGCGTGACGTGTCGGGGATAGCTGCCCCTGTTGTCCACCACGCAGGCCTTGCCGAAACCCCGCATTCCAACCTGGCTTGGGAAAAGCTTGACACCGTCGGAACTCCCGGCTGCTGGCGTTAATAGCAGGGTGTAACCGACTCTGGCCTGATCATGTCTGGCCTTTCATGCTGGGCATATCTTGACTATTTAGGCCAGGCTACGGGCCATGTCGGCCAGCGCAGCTTCTCAGCCGAGCGCCGGTGGGCGGAGAAGGACATCAAAGGCGTAGGTGTCTGCCCTCCCCATGTTTGAAGAATGGAACTCTGCTATCTGACACTCGCTTTGTAGTTGTAAACGATGTCACGAACAGAAAATTCGGTGCAATGGCATCTTCCCATGCCAACAATGCAGCAAGAGATCTCTGCCCTGCAATTTTACCAGCTCACCTCCAGCGAGGGCTGTTATGAAGAGAAGGCAAGAGAACGAAAGGATAACCTCCTGTGTCCTTGACGGCTAGCTAACACTGCTCGAAATTTAGCTATCAGAATGAAAGACCGACTCCCAATCAACCCATGGGCAGAACCCCGATCTCCCCGATCACGATCCAGAGTCAGCTGGAAAGCCCAGAGACAGGTGCGAAATATTAACAACGATGGTTGGAGACGCATGGCTCATATATTCCAAAATAGGTCATTTCAGCGGTTCATCTCAAAGGAGCCTCTCCTTCTTAAGCCGCTCACTGGACAACGCGTCGGATCTGTCTCCTCCAGCTATTAGATCACGACCCTTGGAACAATCCAGCGGATCAGAGGAGCCCTTGACAAACCCTCTGGCATTTTATGCGGCAAATTGGGTCCAGTCATCGTCTGGAAAGCTGCGTACGTCCTCTGGCGCCCTCGTCATTCTCCCAATCACTAATATCCAAACTAGTGTTTATGGGAACATCCTCCAACTGGTCTTTCGGACGGCGAGTGCTGGCCATGACTCACGAGCGCCTCACAGGAGAAGAGCTACCACCCGATAACCTATTGTTTCATGACGATGTATATGACTTCGGGTGGAACGGAGTTAGATCACAAGCCTCGTCGCCTGACAACTTTGACGATTCCGTGCTCCCAACCCCGGACTTTGCTGTCTACCTGATAAATGCAGTCAAATTTCATTGTGGAGGGTTATTCTACCTTTATGACGAAGACTCGTTTATGAATCGGATGAGCCGATTTCATGAGAATCCCACCGAGTACTCACAGAGGTTTCCTTTGTGGTATGTCCAGTATCTTCTAATTCTCGCTTTTGGCAAAGCCTTTGCAACCCTTGCCGTCAAGTCACACTGGCCTGCGGGTATTGAACTCTTCACGCAAGCCATGAAAGTAATGCCGGACCTCACGTTTTTCGACGCCGACCCCTTAGAGCTCATACAGGTACTCTGCTGCAAGGCTCTTTATCTTCAATGCCTCAACCGTCGCTCTCCGGCTCATCGCACGGTACACGCTCACCAACCTATTTAAGATAGATTTTTGTGCTAAACAGTCAAAATAGATTGGAAATGCTCTCCGCCTTGCCCTTGAGAATGGCTTACACACTGAAATGTACAGCCCGCTATTAGACGCCGACTACGTCCGAAAGTGCCAGATCATGTGGTGGAACATATACATATTGGAGCGACAAATGTCTTCTCTCCAGGGCATTCCTGCCGGTATACCAGAGGAATGCATTAGTACCCCATTTCCACCAATGGCTGGCAGCGCACTGAAAATACAAGTTCATCTGTCTCAAATATTATCTAAAATCGATCAGAGTAAGTTACCGTGTAAACGGATAGGAGGCATATTTGCTTACAAAGAAACTAGCTGTGTACGGTGCTGAAGGCAAGATTGGCAGTCGATATTTGGAAGCCACTCGATCTGTACTCAGAGACATTGCTGGTGTGGCCGAGCAGGTCAACAGTGCGTTCAATATTCAAACAAAGAAGGCTTTCAAGGGAATTTCCCGTGTAGCGGCGCACATCCATCTTCTTCAGCATCAGGTGCGTAAAACAAGCCAGCCAAACAGTATCATATCATTCAAGCTGATTTGAATAGTGTATCATAATGAGCACCAGGCCGTTGCTATATATTTTTCTACAAGCGAGACTGGATAGGGCCGACAATCAGTTGATGCGGTGGTTGCAATCCGAAAGCATCACTGGCCTTCTCAACATATGTGTTGAATCTTCACAGCAGATTATTCGGATTCTCTGGTGCCTACTTGACCAGGGGCTTCTAGGTTTGTGTTCTATAACCCTGGGATCTGTCCCAGTACACCAGACATGATCTAACACCAAGTGAATTAGAGACTTTCCTCCCCTTTGATTTGGACGCTGCTTTTAGCTCCACAATTGCCATACTAATGTCAAAAGCCACCCACTCATCGTTGGTACAAGACCACGGTCATTGGATAGATCGAGCTTATACAATCATTTCTGAGATGAGCAGCCGAGGGAGCGTGATTGCTGGGATGATTAAAGGGGAATTAAAACACGTGGATTCTAACTTGCAACAACTACTATCGAGCGGAGACGAATCCGTAGGCTTAGCTGGTGATATCTTCCAAGAGAGCGGCTGTTCTGACGAGGCGCCCGTTGAAGATAGCCAAGGCGACTTTGAAAGTAGCATGTTCAACAGCTCAGATCTACAATATGAGCTTAGTGCCGAGCAACTCATTTCCGTTGCCGATGCCCTCGATATGGATAGCCTAGCTTGGATGGATTCACACGATGCAGTTTAACGTTCAAAGTGGGCTACAGACACAACATAGCCCGTCAGATCGCCAACTCTTAGTATTTTCACACAGAGGGTTATTGCGTAACAATAACACAGCACACAACCACATGAGATTGAACACACGCACAATGTTGACCCAATAAGCAGTTATTATTATCCATGTCTGTTTAAAATTAACAATAATGATAATAAATCAGTCTAATCAGAATCATCATCAATGAAGAGACCCGTACGAAATGCGTCAAGTCGATCGTACAATACAACCCCGTGGGGGGTGGGTACAAAATTGGCCGCCTCTATGGCCTCGTCCAATTCGGCGCTATAAGGCAGAGGCTCCTCCACATCTCCTTTATCAGGATCCCAATCCTTGAAGCCTTCCCAGGGATCGTTGCCAATATATGATATACCATTGCGGTTGGTAAACTTCCAGGCAACGGTGGGAAAACCGTCGGGATGCGAGTTCGAAACCTGCGTAAAGTAAATTTGCCCTCCGCCGCAGCACCGGTTCCAGAGCCATTTGGGGCCGTTTCGGACCCTCTCTGCCACGCCCTGGTCAGAGGCGTCAATATCGGCGTTGTTGAGCCTTTCCGGCTCAAACTCGTCGTCGTCAAAAGACGTATATCCGAGTAAGTCTGCTGCTGGAACCGTCATAACGAGTGTGTTTGTAAAAACTTCAGGGCAGTCGTCGTCAAACATACGATGCGGATGAATTTCGTAGTACGAGGATTGTGGAATATCGGGAGTATCTTCCTCGAGGGTTTCGTCCAGGTAGGTACACATCTGCACACCTTCCCCTTCAGGAACCTTTTCATGGTTAAGAAATTCCAGTAGCTTTTGTTCTGGTATTATGTGGCATATTTTCTGGCATTCGCTGAGTATTTGAGCTGATCGGAGGCGTAGGCCTATTTTGGACAGTTTCTTCAGCGTCCCGAGAGTCATGTTGCATTCGTGGAGATAGAGATGGCGCAGCGTCTCCGCATTTTCTCTAACGACTAAAAAAAGGGTGTGATCTTCGATGACCATAGAGTTCAAATTGAGGGATACTAGTTCCCTCCAATTTGACCGCTTGGTTTCGGGGGAATACCGCAAGAGACTGGTAGTGAGAGGACAGTAGTTGATCTCTCGGCCTGGTCTGTGCTCGCTCTCCATGCTTAGAGAGAGATGTTGGACATTGGTGCAGGCTTCGAGACATTTCTCAAGACGAGCCGATTTGTTTGTGTTCAGAAAGAAAGAATCTGTTGAAAGAGAGGAAAGAGAGATGCTCAGGGTGTCAAGGTGCCTAAAAGCGTCTGCCCGAAGACCACCGAAGGCGCCATTGCCTTGTAAATCGTCTTGCCAAGCGAGCCTTCGTACTGGAATGGGTAAATGTGCTAATGCGGGCAGTATAAACAGCAAGAGACCATCGTTGCTTTGATTCCATTTGGATATCGGCCACTCAGATGTCTGGGCCCGGATGTGACCGACTCGCACCGAGTACTCGGGGGAACGAATTATGCGCTTAGAGCTCATCGGTCGTGAAGCCATGGTATGAAGATGGGGTAGCAAGCCAAGCAATTCGAAGAAAATGGGGGTGAACTCCTTCAAGGCCTCTTCACGATTGACAAGTTCCTTACGACCTGGAGGCAAGGGCGGAACACGAGCTCCCTCCCTATCCCTTAGGACGACGGGAAGCCAGAATGTATCAACACACACTTTGTCTAATAGCGTCACAGCGTTATAAAGCATCGTATCGTATTCTTCTTCTGCTAAGAAGCCTAGCCATTCGCGTCTGGAGATAAGCCGCATAAAATAGTCGGGGAACCAAGCCAGTTCCGACCATTCGACCTCCCGAACGTGTCGGGCAAGGCCCGGATTGCGGCAGATGTTCTCGAATGCCGAACGATCCTGTCTCAGAGGCGAGATTATGATACGTCGGAAAAGAATGGTAGCGGCGGCCTCGCTGAATGAACGGCACATCAGCCGCAGGGAGGCAATGTCCTCGAGGCTGAGGCAATCATCCTCCAGAATCGTAAAAAGGACTTCTGTAGGCAGTGATGCAAAGCCGTCAGTGATGGGGGCAGCGTTGAACGGCTGGATGAGACTAGACATTGTTGCAGACAATGTGTAGATAGTTCGGCTGCAATAGTCAAGCAGATGTATTATGGAATAATCTGATTATTCATTGTGTTTAAAATGCCGGGTCTGGCACCTTTTATTGTTGTAGTTTTGCTTTATTCTCAAACTCTCGCCCACAATAGTCTGTAGCCTGTTGTGCGTTTGCCACGGGCAGTTTGAGTTCAGACTCTCACGGTCGCCACGCGCCTGTCAACCTGCATTACTGACCTCGTGTTGGGTCCCCAGAAGGATCGCTCATGGCTGTGGCAACCAAGGCTTCAAGATGAGGAGATATAAGTGCTCAGGCCTATAATATGCAGTATGCGGGGGTCCGACTTTCAGCTCTCTAAGTGATAAAACTGGTGGCAAAGTTGAAAGTTGGGGGATTATTAATAAGAGGTTATAATGTGAGATCAGTCACTAGAATTACAGAAGAAGTTATTTTAAGTACAGATTGAATTCAAGGGAAAGGGCGACTAAAGCGGTCGGATATTGGATTGATACTGGGCAGAGATGGAAGGTTCGTGATGACATGAGAGGGAGTGCAGCCACGCGCCTTCAAAACTCAAAGAGGCATTTTGTGACTCATTCACGCATCGGCAGTGAATTTCACAAGTGGGCGACATTGAGATTAAGACATAAAAAGTTAAAAATAATATTAAGAACAGAAATGAATGATATCAGACCCGACATCTCAACACAATGAATAAACTCAAACAATGATCTTCTTATTTTCGAGTCTGCGACTAGTATTTTCTGATGACTACGTGCTCATAATACATAAGAGTCAAATCTCATGTGGTTGTGCGTTGTGTTATTGTTGCGCAATAACCCTGTGTTTGAAAATACTTACAATCGACGATCTGGCGGGCTGTTTTTGGTGATGCGATGCCCTCAACAATCCCTTGCTATTTCGCTTACCCTAAACTTTCGTTTCACTCCAAGCAAAACGCGTTATTATTCCTAGCCTAGCCACAAAGTCATCATCGAAAAAAAAATATCAAACATTTATGCACTTTTTTCACTAGTGGTTGACAGTAATAAAATGAAAGCATTCAATACCTTAGCATTATTATGCTAAGACAAGGAAAAGGACCACATCAATTCGGGAACAAGAACATATTTGCACGGCTAGATTGGCGACGAACGGACGGATCACCCAACTTCATTAACGAAGAGTCATGAATAATTGAATTATACTTGCATACCCATGAGCCATGTTCCAGACATTTGCGGCTCGTCTTGTGTCTTCTTTTGCAATACGCACCAGGTACAGGTCACGTGATTAGAAATATCTCGGTTCTACATCCGGCTTCTGTCCCCGTTTTCTCTTTGGAAGTCTCATCGTACGCTTGATGATACTCATCTTTTGTGTTATTTGGAATATTGTGGACCAGAACGCTTCTATATACGCATAACACAGTTTTCTCATCATGAGAACCAAAAACCAAGCTCAACCAAATCGAGCAGCATGTGATCAGTGCAGTATGGCATGACAGACCCATAGACGCTACTACCAGCGGTTTGTCGGCTCAGGGGCTAATAACTTCTAGGGAAACGCAAACTCAAATGCTCCGGAGAATCGACTTGCTCACGCTGCAGAGATCGAAACATGAGTTGCTCATACTCTACGCAAAAGCCCCGCGGCAGACCTCGGAAGATGTCAGTGGGGTTATTGGGCTTGGAGAACAGGGAGCTGGAAGACCCCCATCCATCCTACACGATATCCAATGTACATCGAGTAGGCTCCGAAACTGAGCCGTCATTGGGCTCATGGATGAGACAGGTTCCTGCCTTCCCACGCTCGGGGGCTGAGGCAAATTTGCACCTCGGAGAATTACCAGCGGGGTACGTGATAAAATTCTCCGAGGTTGATGGAAAAATGGTATCTCTAACTAGCTGAACAGAACAGATTTGGCTTCCTTTCATGACCAAACACGAATGCAAGAGGATCTAGTAGGCAATAGTGCATTTTTGCGCTTACCCTCTGTGCCCACCACACTCTCCACGCACTACAACCCACCTCTGTGCGCGTGTCTACCCTGCCTCCATCAAAGTATAGACGCGGTACGCCGCCTAGACGAACCTCAATTTCCGTCAAGTTTGAGAGTGCTCCGGGAAGTTGTCGAAAGCGCTTTCCTCGTTGTTAAGTGTCAAATCTGCCCGCTTGACTCCATGACAGCTTCCCAAAATGCCTTACTCGTCTGCACACTGGTCATCTATATTGCTCAAAGCTACAACCAACTTGTGACTTTTATACAAGATGAGGAAGAGCGTTGCGTTAGAGGGGATATCATGAAAACGATGCGGTTGGGAGAACTCGCATCGGACCTGGACCTGTGTCCTGATGCCTTGACTTTCGAAACGACGCCGGGAGAGTGGAAGAGTATCGCTATGAAGGCCTTAAAAGCACAGATCATCGGCGTTTCAGACAAAAAGTCAGGTTGTTTCGCGCAGTTGCTCAACAAGCTCAAAGAACGACAGCAGATGTGGCACAGTGGGCGCTGTTTTGCCTACCGAGAGCCGAATCATGTGAAGGTTGGCCGGCCCCCTTGTCTCACATTGATCGGTGAAGCAGAAGACACGATGAAACGATTGAAGTTAGAAACATGATAAGTGGTTATTCCACACGGCTTAGTGCCAAACTGATGCTGGTATCTCGGAGAAAGATCAAATGGTTAATTGACTGTCATATTATAGTTATCATTTAATTTGGTTTTCGGAGAAGGTATCAAGAAAATATTCCGAATAAAACTTTGCTTTGGGGGTTTTAAGAGAGAAAATGCAATAGGAGCCATGGGTACAACATTCCGGAACTTTTAATGACTTACGGTGTATTATGTGAAGATCACTCTTCAGTATCTTCAACAGGGACATGGTTGTTTAGATGGGCAAGTAGCGCCGACCATGGAAAAAGCTCAGTGCGATAGTTACCTGAAAAGCGAAGACCTTGTATCGACTCCACCACGATAATCCTTTGCTAGCTTGGAGCCAGTGTTCAATAACTGCATGAAACATCAAAGTCTCATGAGGTTAGCTTTCATGCAGTGTGGAAATTAGATCGCCGACCATTCTCGGCGAGGTATCGAGCCCAAAATAATCGGGACAATCTAAATCACCGAAGAGGCTGGCTACTGACGGCTTACTGCTGGGATTCGGTTGAAGGAGCAAGCACTCGGGATCGAAAGTGAATATCCTTCTCCATGGGTACAGAAATGGGCAAAACACCGGTGGCAACCGTATTCTAAGAACCCATGCGAAAGCTCAGGAGACTGTCAGGCAAGGCAGCAATCTTAGAGTTCCCGCACATTGGACTCACCGCCATCGGCGTTGCAATAGTTCCTCGCAAGTAGTCCACTTCTAATGCACCGTAGAGAATATATAGCTTATTCCAGGAATGCCGTGTGGCAACGTTGCGTCCTGCGCAAGTAAAGTCGGAAATTCTATATGGGAAATGGTGATGTTCGGAGCATATGGCCTAATCCATACTAACGCCTGGATGATACCGCGGGACGATAGCCGTGCATTATATCCGCCGTTTTATTTAAACTGCATGCAAGGCCCGTCAGATTGGGACCCTGTCAGCATCACCTAATCATTTGGCAGCGATGTTCCCTTTCCTAGACTTACTTGGCATTACGTCCTGAATGAAACACCTCTGTTGTTGTTGATCGGCTTCTTGGCCAAGTCAATCTTGGGCTCCGCTATAGCGGCGACTTGATGTCCACCCCGAGATACCTGCCCTAGGAGATAGGCCAAGGAAATAAGCTTCTAAGTGTGTATATGTAAGCTTAATTCTTTTTCGAAAGGTCTGGACAATTATGTGGTCTCGGTGCCTGAGATGTATCAAATCCCGGGCCGATTCATCTTGAATCTATTAGCAACTATGCACCTTGAATCTTTAGTGACTACTCGAAGGCAGAGAACTACAACAAATAGGCACATGATTGCAATAATCTCGGTCAAAGTAACCTGTAGCTGGGGGACGAGTTATGCAGTAAGACTGTCTCTGATTGGCGACAGGTCGCATGCCAAGGCAGGATGAATCCACTGTGAACAAACGAGGGCCGCATCCTCGATTAAACCACGATCTTTGAATCTTGGTAATTGCTTACTATAGGCCGAAAGATCTCTTCTAGCTGGCATCAAGGTGGGGCTGGCCAATTCCCGCGCGCATAGTCGGGATCAGGAAGTGTTTTCTCCTAGCCTGATGATTCTGACCAGGTTGACGAGAATTCCATGAGGAATGATGGCGAAAACAATCCACAATGTAGTGCTGGGGTAGAGTTCAGATAATTATAAAAGGCGTTGTGTCTCGCTGCTTCGAGTTGTTTGGACTCTCAAGCCAAAGCAACAAGCTCAACCGGACTTGCCATCAGATCCAAAGCCAGCACTTTCAACATCACTCTCTTCCTCGCCAACCTTTGTTCCACAGAACACAAAAGTCCACCTTCAACATGAAGTTTCTCAGCTTTGCCTTCAACGCCCTGGTTGCGACAGCATTTGCCCAGGAGCAGAACAGTACGCTTCCCGATTCCCAGTTATTTTGATCAAATGTTGACCGAAACTTATAGAGTACACTTACGAGAGGCTGAACAGAGAGGATGCGGTATGTTCATATCAAGATGTGTGAAGCTACATAGGGACGTGGGAGTTAACAAGAGACAGCTTGTGCTTGTTATTGATATCCAGGATGGTCTTTTCCAGTTGACCAGAGACACCGATCCTCATCTTTACAAGAACTCCGCACTTGCACACGCAGAGCTTGGCAAGACATTCGACATTCCTGTAATCCTGACAACTTCAACTGAGACTGGTATGTACTCATCAGCCACCAATGTCACTGTGTGACATTGAACAATTCATGTTTTTGTGTTTCGTCAAATGTCATCAGTTCTAATTTGTTGTGCTTAGGTCCCACCGGTCCTCTCTTCCAGGAGATTGCTGACCAGTACCCTGAGGCTCCTTTTATCAAGCGAGAGGGAGAGATCAATGCCTGGGACAATGCCGCTTTCCGGGAAGCAGTCACCGCCGCCAACAAGACCCAGATCATCATTGCAGGTATCGCCACTGACGTCTGCACCACGTTCTTGGCCCTCTCTCTCCGCGAGGCTGGCTACTCTGTCTGGGCAAACGGTGAGGCCTCCGGAACCTACTCTACCTTCGTCCGCGACATCTCCAACACTCGTATGGAGAAGGCAGGCATTCAGGTCGTCAGCTTCTTTGCCATTGTCGGTGAATTGATGCGTGACCACCGCGGTGACGCGAACGGCAACTACGGCGCTGAGAAGGTCAACCCCCTGTTCACCAAGTACTTCCCCCTCCTCGGCATACTCACTCGTGGACACAACGCTGCCGTTCGAAACGGAACAATCTCCCCTGTCTAAGCCGCGCCATCTGTAATTCTGGCTGATGTGCCTTTTCTTTTATCTGCTACAATCGAGCTCTTGCCAAGCATGCAGTGGAAGAAAGCGCCTAACAGCTAAATATGCCTTGATGGTGGGTATGGGGGGATGATGTGGACGTTGAGAAGCACAATTAGATCTGGAGGATTAGAAAGATGGGTATCAGTGGTGGAAACATTCGTTTGGATTCAAATCGACAAAGTAGATAGTATAGTTAGATAGATATATAGGTTTGGGGCGAGGAGAAACGCTGAAAAGAATAAGTCCCTCCAACTTTATACATCCCTCGTCGTCTCAAATGAGTGAAGTGCTTAGTCTTCTTGGAAGTTCAAGACTGTTGAAAAGAGTTAAGTCCAAAATCATCAATCTAGCTATGAGTAAGTTGAAAATAGCTCCTGGTGGGACACGCAGGACTTTGCAATTTCTACTTTCTGGGGCACACCTTGAAACAGATCATAGGTGATATATACCTGATCAAGCATTCCCCGTTTCTGAGATTTTAATTGATATACTAGCCAACTGGTCGCTGATATCTAAACCGGGGCGTATCTAACTCATCTACCGCAAGGCCTCGCGCAGCTCGTCAGGCAAATGCAAACGTACCAGCGGCATATAGTGCTGGCTTCCATGGACATCCCCATCCCCTACTGCGCCACTCACAGACCTCTTTCCTGCAGCCATTCGTGGAATCGTAGCTTTGAAAGCTCTGGCCTGGTCAAAGAAGCCGGCATATATCACGTCCTCCTCAGGAATAGAATACAGATTTGAGATGACCTTTTTGCTCAGAATCTCGGACTTCTTTATACTGCGATATTCTTCTTCCGAGTCAAAAAGGAGATCAAAAGTTATTTCGTACGGGCCGGAGTTCTTGGATCTAACTACCTTGGCAACTTCACCTAGAGTTGTAGGCGTTTGGACAGGTTTGGCCGCGGTAATGGCAGGAGCCGAAATTTTCTCGGTTGCACCACTCGCGCTAGAAGTCCCGTGTGAAAGCTTGAGATTATTTTCGACCCTTGAAGGTAGCGGGGATGGGCGTGAGTTAACTCCCAATGTTATCTGCTCCCTTCGAAAGAGCGCTGGGCCTTGGGAATTGCCATCTTGAATTGAGCCTTCCTCTCCCGACTCGAGTTCCATCAAGTGGTAGACACAAAACTGCGGACACGGCCCACACTCAATATCTGTCTTTCCGGCGATGCCGAATGCCATGTTACCGCTTGTTGCCTTCTGGCCTGGATAAGGAGCGTGGATGCATGCGACTCTGGCCGTTGATACGACCGTAGTCGCCACGTCCTGGCTATCTGCAAGAGCCTCGCCAATGATACAAACCGACCCTGCGTTGGCAGGATCAGTTGCTCCAATTTTGTGGAAAAAGAGTGACCAGTTTTCGGTAACATGAGCATGCTGTTTCGCAACGTAGGCACGAATATCGTCAAGAAGGTGGTCTAGTTGACTGGTAAGAGCCGGGTCGTGGTACGCTCCGACAAACATTGATCTGTATCCAGCAACCTTTGCACCTTCCAGCTTTACGTTGTAATTGTTTCCCGCCAATCTGATGGGCTTGAATGTTGCACCGCGGCACCGGACCGTCTTCTGATCTGGCAGAGCTTCATAGCTGGTGTTGCTCAAATCCAGGCAGCCACCAGGACCGTAGAGCAGATCTGGTCGTGATTTCTCATACAGCGTATGAGCTGCAACCGCCAGTGGTGTGCATCTGACACCCTTTTCAAGCGGCGTTACATCGAAAGTGCCATCACAGTACACTGTCGACCTCGCGGCTCGAGTCTTGGGAGTCGCGCACTGGGCGCCGCACTCCATGATCTTCCCCATGTGGAAGAAGCCGCCTAAAACACTTTCTGGAAGAGTTTCCAGTGGAACCTTTCCTGAAGCTGATTTCATGGCCACATAGGAACAGTAGGCCACAAAGGGGCTAGGGTCGTAGGCTCTGCCACCCACGATGACGTTGAAATCAGGGTCTGCAAACATGGCATCGATGAAAGGCTCGGCTCCGACTTGGGCAACAATTCTCACAGCGTCTTCAACGTCGCGCTCTGTTAGCGTAGGGACCGCAGGGCCGCATCTATAAGCATCGGATTAGTTTCGTCCGTGAAAGATTAGTTATCAAGGCTCACCCAGTTACTTTGCCGCCAGCCAGACGCTCTTTAATCAAATCCTTGGGGACTTCGGTTTTGATAGTTATGATCTTGGTTTTGTATTTCCTGTGTCCAAAGGTTAATTACTTTCTTTGGATGCGGGGTTTCAAGCCTTACTCCTTGGACTGGTCGACCACTTCACGAATGACTTTGGTCATTTCATTTACATGGTCATCAGCCCCGTCCCCCCCTGCCGAGCTGAAGAGAAGAGGGGTGCTGTATTTATTGCAAAGCCTAAGAAGCTTTGTCAAGTCTCTCACGTAGTTAGATCTTGGAGCTGCCATCTGACCCAGGGCCAGTCTCGCAGGGCCAGAATCCGTGGATCCGGCATCCAAGATGATGGCGATGGGCGTATCGCTTTCTTGTCGGAGCCTGGCTAGCTCTGCATCGCATACGTCTTCATCCAACCCGTAGCCAAGACAGCCGACAGGTGTGACGATATGGCACAGAGCAGAGGGTTCTTGCAAAGCTGAAGGGCTCATGGTGATTAGGAGAATGAATGAATCAAGATGCGGTTCTGGTAGATATAGTGTGGTATATTCGATCGGTCACAGCAAGCAAGCTTGATGTTTCCCCAGATTCATAGATTACAAGCGCGATGGCTTTTATATATCTATATAGTGGGGAAATCTTACCGCCGGGACGAGCTGGTTTTTCCGTTGCATGTGTTCTATATCTGCAATACATCCTTGTAACCTAGCCAAGAATGTGAGTCCAAGCCTATCGCATGGTTTGGTATTTCGAAGGCACCGTTTATGCTGGAGCCTGGTTTGTTCAAACCTTTCAAAACAACCTCAACTGAAGAGTTCCTGAGAAAGCTATCCTTTCGGATCTTTGTATGACTTCCGTTCTCCGTGTACGGACTTTATGATGGCATCCAGATACCTAATATCATCAAAATCATGTGATGCTTAGTGTGGGACTCGCGCGGACCGGAGTTTATGACCAAACTCCAGTTCTCCGACTGACTTTTTGAAGGGCTCCTATGAAGTCCTTTCCCCGCAATTATAGCCTTGCTAAGAGAAGGTGGCATTGAGGTTACGTAGATCTGCCGAGCTGATTAATATGTTGTATATAGACGAGTTGGTGCTGATCTTGGTCGTTGACGAGCTCCCCGTGGCTTAGCAGCAGAAGGCTGGGGTTAATATAATGAGAGCAAAAGTTCGTCAAGCCCAGCCTATCTTAAATGAGAAATTTATCACTACTTTGGACTCAAAATAAAGTCATCGAATACTGGGTCCTGTCTTTCTGGCCGAGGCTGTTGGGGAGGGGGAAGACCCCGTGGAAGGCATCTAGTGGTGTGGCCATCGGCAAGTGGGCTGGGTTAACGCAATGCCGAGGGAAGATGGGGTTAAATGGATACATCTTCCCGGCACTTCTTAAAAACGATGAATATTATTTCCAGATTTGTCTCTTCACAGCCTATAGCCCAAGTCAAGAGAGCGGAAGCTAGCCGTAAGCCTGAGCATGCGGAGTAAAAGAGCAGTACAGCCACCTCCATGAAACCTCATTTTGGTTAGGCGTCCCGCCCGGCTCTCGTACCCAGTAGCGAAATAAGCCAACTCTGTCGAGAAGTTGTCGTGGTTGAGCATTGTGAACTCAAGTTTGACGGGAGCTAAGAATTGATCCATGGAACATTAACCCCCTCCGCGCGTTTCCTTCCATTCCAGGCTAGAGAGACTATGCAAGTGTCACATCCCCGCAACACATGCCAGTCTCCTATTCTAAAGCCTGATCCAACTTCCCTATTTATTGTCAACTGGTATCTCGTTCTGCATTGAAGCCGCCCGAGGATAAACCAACCTGGCATAGGTTTGCCCTTACTCTTATCCAAGTACGATATACACTGTACTCAAGTCGAGTCGTCCGTCCAAACCTCCGGTTCTAATATCTAAATATCTACACCCACACACTCGTGTTCAACTTATCGAAGTAATATGCGGCTACCGGGAAAGAAGCACGTTGCGGTCGAGCTCGAAGATATAAATGCGACAAGCGAACGTCTGGCTCAGATGTCTGCTGAGAAAAAGCACGACGGGGAAGTAGATGTTAGCTACGCAGATGCAGATGAAGAACTGCGTCTTTGGGCAGGCATCAAATGCTTCCCAAAGTTAGTGTCCTTCTGCCTCGGGCTTTCCGTCGCTGTGATTGCCCTAGGCTATGACTCTATGATCTTGGGAAACATTACGGGTGTCGACAGCTTTCAAGCGGACTATGGATCCCTATATGAGGGACAGGTCATCATCCCGGCGATCTGGCTCTCGCTCTGGACCGGCCTTGGCAGGCTTGGCAACGCCCTGGGCAGCGTTGTTGGAGGATGGTCCCAAGACTTCATGGGCAGAAAGCGAAGTTTCATGCTGGGAAGCATCGTCTTGATTGTTTCCGTCATAATCAGCTTTTTATCATTCATCCCGCCAGATGTCAACACCAAACGCGGTGTTTTTCTGGCTGGTAAAGTCCTTCAGGGTGTGTCCGTAGGTCTTCTCAAGATCACGGCCATGACATACATTTCTGAAAACGCCCCAGTGTCGCTTCGTGGGCCAGGAATGGCTCTTTTTCCCACATTCAATCTCCTTGGTCAGCTGCTTGGAACAGTCGTTGTTTTCGCAATGAACAGTGTTCCGGGTAAAGCAGGGTATATGGGAGCATTTGGTTCTCAAATACCCCTTGCCCTTGTCCCCTTTGTGGTGTCTTTGATCATGCCGGACAGCCCCGTGTATTTACTTCGCCAAGGGAAGGAAGAGGCCAGTTTGCGTGCTGCAATACGCCTTTACGAGCCACGTGTCTCTGCTGCGAAGATGATTGAAAGAGCTAAAGGCGGCATACTGAATGAGGTCAATCCTGAGGCTGGCGCAACTTATCTGGACGCCTTTCGTCCCCAACACAGAAGGCGGACATGGATCGTTTTCTTCGCCAACCTGTTTCCAACCGCATTTGGCTTGGACCATCTCGGCAGCATCAGCTATTTCCTTCAATTACTCGGCATGCAGTCTAATGTCAGTCTTATCTTCATGATCAGCGGCGTTGTCGTCGGAATCATAGCCAATGGCATGGGCATCTGGATCCTCACCCGTGTCGGGCGCCGTACAGCGGTGCTCGTAAGCCTGTCGCTGGCGTCCATACTCTGGGGCGCCATGGGCGTATCTGGCTTCTTCAGTGGCGTATTGATCGCGTATATCTCTGCCGCGGCTATGGCGCTCGTTATATTCGTGTCTGGTTTAGGAAGCTGGCCAGCTGGGTATGCCATCATTGGAGAGACTTCGGCGCTCGAGGTCAGAGCCAAAACTCAGGCTGTTGGTGGAGTGTCTCAGCAAGCATCCTCGACAGCGATGAGTATAATATTGCCATACATATTCAACCCCGATGCTGGAAATTCAGGGGCGAAGCTTGGCTGGCTATTTTGTGGGCTTTGCGCCATCACAGCTATTGCTTCGTGGTTCATTATCCCGGAAATGAAAGGAAGAAGCCAGGAGGAAATTGACCGCATGTTTGAATTGGAGCTCCCTGCCCGCAAGTTCAAGCACTGGGGTGGAGAAGGAAGCCATCAGGATTAAAGAGTACACGCCCTGTACTACCACATGTGCAGCTAGTGTGAACAGATGTTGACTTCAAATAGTTGACTATGAACTTCAACGGCTAGGAAGAGGAGGACTGGTACCTTCTTGTGAAATGATCGCACTGAATCTTATTATTACCCTCCACCTGACTATGTTAACGAGTCTACCTTGGTAAAATCATTTTATTTGATTCTTCAATTCCAATCACATATGAAGATTGCTGACAAATTTCGCTGTCTTGAAACAATTCATGAAGCAAATCCTGAACCCATGAACCACTTTCTGACTTTGATCAATATACCCGTTGATTCGTGAAACGATGTGGTCAGGCAAATGGTGTGGATGGGCTCAAATGCTGCCAATCGCTGGCGTTCTATCATAAATGGCCTTCTTCCTATCTGATACAACGTAACTAATACAAACGAAAGGATGCATTGATATCAAATCTTACATAGTAAGGAGGTTATCTCGTCTCACGCCGCTGTTCAGGGTCTAACCTTGGTCAGTGTTTCAACCAGAATTCAACTCATGAGAATAATTACTTGGCCAGTGTTCACCCACAGTACTATGTAGGCCCACCACGTAAGCCTTACGAGGTTACAGGCGCCTAGGTATTCTTCGTTTTCTGGGTGGATTTGGATGGGTGGTTTGGTGAAACTTCCTAGCATACCTACACGTCATAACGAAGCTGCCGCACCACGGCTTTACTTTGTAATTGGTTCAGCTAGGACCCTTTGCTCCTCATGAAGATAGGGGAATTGGCTGAATAAGGAAGCTGAGAACCTTCTTGTTTTCTAGGGACTGCCGTTGATTAAAGAACTTGTTGAGAATGCCCAGGTCCCGGCTTACTATAACCCCTGCTCATCTCACGCTTTGCTGGCAATAGATCTTACGCTGCAGGGGAAATATTCGCGTTCTCGGCGTCGGTCCCATAGGGTTATAGATTTCTCCGATACGGGCCGCCCCTCGGCACCGAACACTGATGAGAACATTGCCGACTTACTCCGCGATCTTCCCGACGAGATATTCTCACCCGCGGTTGTGACCTTGTCTGTGTCGTGGGCCCCCCTTTTTTTGCACCGGACACGCAGAAGGATCGTCGTAGAATAAATGCTGCAATCATGGCCTTGTTTCGTACCTGCTCCCTCGATCCTTACATGATGGGGTCTGTCTGAGTAACGCCTCTTGAGATGGGTTCCGTGCTGTCGCTGCTAGGGGTTGAAAACAAATATAAAGGACGGCGGATCGCTAAATCTTGGTCAATAGAAATCATTCAAATTAGTCTTGAGTTCTTGTCTTGGTGCTTGTATTGCTTTAATTCTAATCTGCTTCTGGTCCCCTTTCTTGCTTTCTTCTTGGCCCCCATCAAAATGCAAGTCAAGAATATCGCGGCCACGCTGGGCCTCCTCTGCTTTTCCGTTCCATCCGTGGCACTTCCTCAGACAAATGTCCGAAATTCTTCTTCAGAGACCCTGTTCAATGACATGCAGAAGACTTACGAAACCAATATCAACAGAATTCTGAGTTCTAATGCATCGGATACATCCTGTAGCAGGCATTCCGTTGCCGTGCGTCGTTCCTGGGATGCCTTGAGCAGAAGTGAGAGGCTGGAATATATCCGTGCCGTAAAGTGCCTGCACAATCTTCCATCAAAGGTTGACAAAACTCTCGCACCCAGTGCCAGAGTCAGGGCAGACGACTTCACCTACCAGCACATGAATCAGACAAATTTTGCTCATGCGTCGGGCATTTTCCTCCCATGGCATAGGCAGTTTATGTGGATTTATGAGAAATCTCTCAGGGAAGAGTGCGGCTACAAGGGCTATGTTCCCTACTGGGACTGGATGAAGTACAGTGATGATCAGTCCAAGGCTTCTATTTTCGAGGATGGTCCAGCGGGGTTTGGAGGCAACGGAAAGGCCATTCCTCACCCAGACACCAATCAAAGCCTGCCAGATGTTCCAGGCCCCTTTTATATCACCCGTAAGGCTGGTACTGGTGGTGGTTGTGTTACAACCGGCGCCTTCGCCAACCTGTCCGTCAACCTCGGCCCCGTGGTTCCAGGAAACAATTCTGCCGATGATCCATATGGTGTCAAGAACCCACCACACTGCCTGTCCCGGGACTTTAATCAAGAATACAGCAACACAGGCCTTACCTACACGGCAGCTCACACTCTTCTACAGTCAGCCGACTACAGTGCCTTCTTTGGAAACTATGACCATCTCGTCCATGGTTTCGCTCATCAGTACTTGGGAGGTGATGGTTACGATTTCTACAGCTCCCCAAGCGACCCAGTCTTCTTTCTTCTCCACAGCCAAATCGACCGTCTTTGGGCTATTTGGCAAGGATTGGATCAAGATGTTCGAAAGGGCCAGGTAGGCGGAACAGAGACGTTTGCGAACCGGCCCCCTTCTGCGAACACAACTTTGGACACAGTCCTGCACATGACTGAAATTTTTGGTGGAGATGTCAACTTCGGTCACACGATCTCTACTATTGAGAACGATTATTGTTACATTTATGCTTAAACTTTTCCTCTTGTTGGTTATCATGTAGAGCTCTTTAGCTCAACGGATCTTTGTTTTTGTCTCAATATGGTCAACTATCTGTAGTATAGACGGAGCCGAGTTGTTCGTTTTTTGACCTGTCGGCTTACTATAAATTGATTTCTATCATGTTCCCACCAGGAGGCCAATACTTGCCACGGAGTTAGAAGCATAGAAGTACCATTTATTTCTGTCCCCAATTCACGAATTACGGCGCCCTGGCCTCATCCGCGGAGTGCAACCAACGAAGGTGGGTAGTGGTCTAGAGTAGCACCTCAATGAGCATGGACTTTTTATCTGTCGAAAGCCTAGACGCCGCCGCCGTAAGTGCTTCCTTCAGTTCTCTCACCGTCTGAACCCTAACACCTTTCATCCAACCTTGCGTATCTTTTATCTCGTTCGTCCAGCCGACCTCCGATCCGGCCGCAGCCTCTGCTAATGCGGCGTAGTTTGGACTTGGTCGGATCGCAGTGTTGATTTCGTCATCGGTGGCAGACGCACCCAGGCCGTCAGGATAGACAAGCTTCACAGAGTTCCGTGGTGCTTTCCAGCCTCGATGGTTCATTGTATGTTAGTATATCGCCATTTCTTGGTTCTTATTCGAGTGTAGTGGCTTGTGATCTCACCCCCATTGTTCAATATTACCGTCAAGAGCGGAATCTGATACTTGGAGCCCACCCACAGCGCGCTTGACGGCGCCGCGCACATGAAGCTCCCGTCGCCGACAACCTGGCACACCAAACCTCCCCGTTGCTGGCTGTCTTGTCTATTCTGGACCTCTGTATCTGTGAGAGCCATTCTGACACCGAGCGCTGCGCCGTTGCTCCATCCGATTCCCGTTGCGCCGCAGTTAATCCAGCTCCCTGGTCGTGTTGGCTGGAGTTGATCATGAAGAGCATGGGAGGCTGTGACTGCCTCGATGACAAAGTTGGTGGATTCCGGAAGGGCGGACTTGAGGAGATGGCCAATGTTGTCGAAATCCAAGGGCTCATCATCACCTAGGCGAGGTCGAGACGCAATTTCATCCATTCGTGCTTGATGTGCCTTGGCACGAACATCGCGACGCGCAACATAGATGGGGTTCTGGAGCTTTTCTACAAGCGCAGTGTCGGTCTTGATGTGGTTGACCAATTGCGAGAGTGCCGTGAAGCTATCAGCCTTCCAGCGGCCGTTAGCAGGGTAGAAAGACACTGGGAAATGCTGTTTGAGAGGGTCAATATCAATATGATAGATGCGGGCATCGACCGACGGTGGGTTGCGCGATGGGATCCAGGGAATATCACAGTCCAGAAGCAAGATAACATCGGCGTCCCGAGTACACTCGTCTACAGCGAGGCGGAAGCCCTCGGAAGCGATATTAGAGAACGGAAAGTTGACGTCGCTACCGCCCGTGTCATGAACACGAATCCCAGGAATAGAGTCTGCGAGGGCTGTAAGAATTTCAGGCGTTCGACGGTCGCGGCCTGAATAGCCTGTGATGATGAGAGGACGTTCGGCGTTTACTAATGCCTCTGCGACATCGCGTACAGCGTCGGGAGGTAGAGCGGTCTCTCCGATCGGAACCCACCTGCTCTGGTCCAAGGAGTATGGTTTGATCTCCTGGGCTAGGACCTCTCTGGCGCAGACTAGATATGACGGGCCCTTGGGCGAGCTGCTTGCAAACTGGAGGGCGCGAGCCATGTTCTGCTTGACGTTAAGCCCGGTGTGGATCTCACCCGTATATCTACAGTATTGTCTAACAAGCCCTTTCTGGTCCGGAGCGTCCTGCAGCCAGTTGCTATACTCAGTCCGCGACCCAGGCAGCTCTCCAGACTCGGTATACGGAACCAGGCCCGCAAGGATGAGCACGGGAACGCGACCGACACTGGCATTGTGTAGACCGTGGGCGAGCGCCTGAGTGCCAACATCAACATGGACAAGGACGGCCTGGGGCTTGCCTGTGACTCGCGCATAGCCATCGGCCATGGAGATAGCGGTTACCTCGGAGGGGCAGGTGATGAGCTTGGGCCATGTGTCAGGTCTCTCTCTCTTGCCTTTGACGATTGCCTCGAGAATGGAGGGATGATCCGACCCGACATTCACAAAACATGTTGTGATACCAGCCTATGATCGTTTAGTCTCCAGCTATCACTATAAAGCCTAAGGTGTAAGATGGTTGAAATAAATATACCTCCCAGAGTGAATCGAATAGGGCATACGCGGTGGTATATCTACTTTCTGTTATTCCCTCGCTCCTTTTTTTTATGATTCAATAGCTCATCGACAAGGAATACACTTACGTGGACGGACTGCTTGGAGATATTGGATTATCCGTCGTGGGAGCATGCGAGGACTGTATGCTGCGAGTGGCAGAAAGGGGCACAGCCGGCGTCGGAGCGAAACTTCGGGGGCTTCGGAGAAAAGAAGACACAGCTACCACTTGCGGACGCAGATGACTTTGGATGGAAACAGCTCGCCTGGCTGTTGTGGCATGGCTTGCCCGCGATAACCAGCGGACCAGAGACATAGTGAATGCGATATATCTAGTGTGTATGAGGAGGTATAGAGTGGCAGGGACGATTGTGAAGAAAAGAAAAGGAATGGAAGCACCCACTTCAGTACGCAAGAACCGGTCAACTACCGGCCATCACCCATGTCGTCGGGGTAATGGCCCTCTGCTTACGGAGGATTCTCACACGAACCGCAGTGGGGATAATCGCGAACCTAGCAGCAACTTTCAATCCGATCAACGCCAAGAGCAAGAAAACGCAAAATATATTCGAGAGTTGTGCCTGAGTTCAAGACCTGAATTACAAGGTTATGGTAGGATATGCTTAGCCCCTTTGTCGCCTTGCAAGACTGTCTAGAGGATAGATAGCAGTCATAAGCCATGGGATATTAGAAACTTTTGTAGTTAACCATTAATTAATGCCGATGCCTTCTGTTGATTTAACTATTCATACTCGATCAAAAGACCTGAGCAGAAACGCGAAAATGTCACGTCAGCGTTTCGCCAGATGCGGAGTCCCTTTAAGTTTGCATGACGAGTACCAAACAAACTGACAAGCTCCATGTCCATCGATTGGTTAATCTTATGCGTTGGGCAGTGAGGCGATTGACCGTGCATCACCTGCGGGGTTGCCGCCTGAACGAACACAACAGAAGCACCAACCTTTCATTCTTCATCACGTATGAAGACTAGCTACGAAACAATCCTCGTGCAACTAAATTTCTGCATTTACTTTGGCCCACTTACTTGTTACCATGGCTTTCAACTTCGGCGCTACCACACCAAACACCTCGGCCCCTGTCGGATATCCCAAAACAACGACGAATGAACAGGTCAAAGAACTCGTGATCTCTCTTGAAAGGTCGGAAGTATGGGTTGAATGCATTATATGTAGATTATTAACTGTCAAAATAGACTCTTTACAACCGAGGCTTACTCCGATCTTACCATCCTATGTGGTGGGAGCCAGTACAAGGTGCACAAAGCGCTCGTCTGCCCTCGCTCCAGCTTTTTCGAGGCAGCGTGCCGCAGTAATTTCAAGGTAGTCTCTTCATCATAGTCATCATATCAGTACACCATATCTATTAGAAGTCTCTAATCATTGTGAATAGGAAGCTGAGACCGGCGAAATTTCCCTTCCCGATGACGATCCGGTCGCGGTTGAGATGATGATCCGATACTTCTATTTTCTCGATTACACACCTCCAGAAACAAAGCCAGCAAGCCATCCAACTCCCACATACTTCAACATCGAGGGCCATGGCCAAGGGGCCATTTTTGGGCGAGCCACCTACTCTTCCGCCACAAAGAATTTCATCGTCGACAAGAATTTCATCGGCGACAAGGATAAACCCAAGGCTGAGACTACTGCATTCTTCACGACTAACATGGCCCCTTCCCATCTTGTCCTGCATGCTCAAGTCTATGCCTTGGCGGAGAAATACGACGTCTCTGGCTTGAAGGCACTTGCAGCGACAAAATTCAAGTGCGAAGTGGACATACATTGGAATTCCGAGGACTTCATGCTGGCTTTGAAGGAGGTGTATAACTCCACGGTTGATCATGATCGCATGCTTCGAGACATCGTCGTTCAGGCGGTCAGCCTGCATCTGCAGTTGTTGGAAAGCAAGCCTTTCCAAGACGCTATCAAGGGACTTGACTTTTCTTATGATCTCCTCATCAAACTGAAAATGGGCGGACGAATTTGAGCATTGGCCTCAAGGGAGTCAACAGAATGTAATCAATCCAGGCTTTGGTTTGGGTTTGATGTCCATCAACTTACCGCTCGGCTCATCGCTGCCTATCACGAGCTTCCCCAGCCGCGTTTATATCTCATATCCGTTCAACTCTCCACGCAAGCTACTGTTTTCATTCAGGCATCCAGCGGACCGTCAATGTAATTCTCCTTTTATAGAGGTACAGATGTTCGTTCTACGCTAGAATCTGTATGTTCGATCCTACTTCATTCAGGAAAGCCATTCCTTCCTTTCGATATGTATCGTCTTCCACGTAACTTCCATTGGCATCCAAAACAATATTTTGCGGCTTAGATAGGTCGTACTTCGGCCACGTGGGCAGCGTGCTGTCATTCCCACGACTCGAGTTAGGGTTGTGGTCGTAAACGAACGATATATATGCCCTTCCAGTGTCTTCGCTCAATATCTTGTAGTGCTGATAGGCCGGCATTGGGCCAAGTCCACCTGTGATATTTTGGAAGCTGAATGCCACGTTTTGAAAGTGACCAACACCCCTATCCCACCTTTCGCCATACTGTAAGCTCGGATGGCATGTGTCAGTCAACGTCCAGAAACAACAGTTTTGTATAGTACTAACCCCCAAAGTGTCAAATCGATAGCTGTAAACAGGAGCTCCAGCAGCTGTCAGTTGCTCTGCCACGCGACGTCTTCCAGCAATCATGACCATATCTCCCTCAATGGCTGCGGCACGGCGCCATAGTAGTCCCTGGTCAGGGAACACAGCTGGGTCTGGATTTAGGTAGTATGGAGGCTGGGATGTAGGGTCGTCTGGATATAGCTCCAATAGTTTCTTGGCCATCGGCGGGCGAATGTTGTACCTCCGGTAGTCGAGCATGCTCTTCAGGAGCTCGTCTTCGGCGTTGATACCCTTCGTTGCAAAGGTACAACCTTCGTCGCTGTTGGTACCTATGATGACGGGGATTCGTAGGAATTTGCCTTCTTTAGCAAGAACGCTGGGGAAATCACTCCATAACTCTCCGTCCACCACTGAACTGCTCCATCAGATTCCGGTGCTAAAATGTACAGTTGGTCGGGCTTTGAACTCACTAGGGTTCCATATTAGACTCGTAGTCTTAGCAGCTTGCCATGTTTCGAATGGCACAGCTCTGAGACAGTTGATCATTGTGTTAGATCCAGCACACCCTACTTGTGCCGCTAGAGACTCCACGAAGCCAGCGTAAAATGAAAGATCGTGCATCGGAGCTCCAGATGGCCCCCCAGATTCCATAATAGCAGCGTGGTAAAGCCCATCGTCTCTTCCATCATACGTAAACATGTGGAGCCCAATAGCTTGTGCCCCGGCAGCTGCAAGAGGAAAGGTAAGCTTCGCTCAAGGCAAGGGGAGCGAGTACGCACATTCACCCCAGATCGTAACCCGGTTCGGATCGCCACCAAACGAGCCGATGTTCTCCTGGATCCACATGAGTGCGAGCCTTTGATCGTGCATTCCAGCATTGGTACTTCCTTCTTTCAAGAGCTCCGGTGTTTGCAAGAAGCCGAGTTTGTTGATCCGATAGTTGAATGAAACTAGGTAAGTCTTTTCAGTATCAAGTGCAATGAACAAAGAGTGCTGTAGCGTACCTCCGATGATAGGCTTTCCAATCTCCTGGCTCAACTGAACAAGCCCGGACATGTTGTAACGAGGGTCGGAGCTTCCGCCGCCATCGAAGCCACCCCCATATATCCAAACTAATACCGGAAGGCTTGTGTCTGATGAAATGCCAGCGGGGCGTACAACTAAGTAAACTATCAGTCATGAGGGATTAGTCGTCTTCGTACGAGCTAGGACTAACCGTTAATACTTAAACAGTCTTCGGAAACATCGTTCCCAAATACGTTCGGAGGGGAGTATTGCGGGCACTACCGGGAGATGAGTTTCACAGTGTCTTTTCAAGGTGATAAGATTGCAGTTTACTTACGGCAGGTCCATAGCTAGTGGCATTTCTGGTTTCTGAAAAGGCCTGGTTGATATAATGAGGGCGCTTGAAACGTCTCTCTCCTGTTGGGGGTAGTGCAAACGGCATTCCTAAGAACACGTCCTGGTTGAAACTTTCGAGATGCTTGCCTACATACGTTCCGTTCGCGGTAGAAGCTGTCGGGTTTCTCGAAAGGCATGTAGCTCGAATAGCAGGAAGTAGAAGTCCAAGGACACGTGTGGCAAAAGGCGAATACTTCATCGTCACAGTTTTTTAACTCTTCTCAAACACCGTCACAGCTCGGACTTTCCCTGCTACTCTTCATGAATATATATGTATATATATCTACCAAGTGTTGTGGCTTTCTGATTCCTAGGATTTCCGATCGCATTTACCCGCATATTCTTGATCTCCTAGACCAGCAAACAAGCTGGGACAATAGCCTAGTTTCGAAATAATGCCGTGATACTAGCAGGCTGATCTTATCCACGCAATTATCCTCTTGACAATTTTCTCCACCAATCAAGTCAGTTCGTCAGCAACGTTTTGCATTCAAGCCGACGGATAACTGTGAACGTGCAATGCCATACAGGGTGGTCACTATAATTCTGCAAAACTCATATTTGTCAAATCATAATTATATCCTCAATCTAGCGAATCTGCCCTAACCGATCCCCATTCCTGTGAAGCCAAGATGTATTCCCCTTCGAACACGATTTGATCCACAGCGTCCCGTTTCTGAGTACTGGTCAGCTTCACCCTATCCAAAGGCTCTCCGAGGAAGTCCATTTCAATTCCATGGATCCTATAGCATTCCGGTATATTCGGAAGCACCAAGTCCTGCTCTTGTGGACATTGGAGGAGTGGCCAATTATCCAGATCACCCAGTGACCCTTGATAAAAATCCCTCTCCTCTAGCTCAATCACTTTACGAACCACGCAAACAGACAACTTGGAGTCCCAGATACCTTCTTGATGTTCCGAGGTTGAAAGAAGGCGCATGGCTTGGGTTCGAATCTGATGCACGCGGCATTTGGTAGCGGTGTAAAAGAGAGGGGCAATCCAACCCATGTCAATGATGGATAAGTGTCTGAGGACGAAATTTCCCATAGATATCTGCTTTTCATTCAACTCCGGGGCCGTTTCCAACAGATTTATGCCATTCTGTAAGAGAGTAAGGAACTTGCTCGTTTGTAGATCGTATGCTGACTCGTCGTAAGGAGATATGCAGGTAGCGGTCATAATTTCTGCCATCGTGTAGTATTGAAGAATAAGCAGATATAATTTAGTTCGCTGGTCACCTCTCGGAGTTTCCGTGCGGATAATATCCAATGAGACATTGTACATCTTGAGCCACTGCGATAGGTCGGCGCGGTTGCGTTTTTGGCGTTCTTTCAAGGCATCAGTGCTGATCAATAGAGCACTTCCGGCGTCGTGCTCCATCCGAGCCTGATTTGAAATCTCAATGGCCCGATCAAGAAGTTGTCCCAGATATTGCCAGGCCTCGTTGGTAGAGTGAAAGCGAGTGCTCGGTAGTGGCCCGCGTAGGCTCACCGGAAAATCAAAGCAGGGCCTCGGACGACCTTGGTGGAATAGCCTGAACTGCAACCGCAACCTCGTGAACATTTCGGCAATCCAACCATCCAGCATCTTGGCTCGGGGTTGATGTATGGCAGGAACTGCTGAAAGCGACTCTTGGGCTTCGGCCAGGACCTTGAGTCCATTATCCATGTGACGGTGTGCTGTCTCGAAATGGCCGCGAAGGAGCTCTAAACATATGAAGATGACGCATCCTATCAGCGAAACGTGAAGAGACGCTCTTCCCGTGGCGTTAAGATGGTACTGAAGGTGGCGGATGGCCTTAGTATAGTGCCGCAGAGTGATGACTTCTTGCGAGGCTGCGGTGCTGTCACTCAGGGTGGGTGTTCGGTGCACTGTGCCCAGCGCAAGGATAGCATGAAGAACAGAGGGCTCCGTCGATGCCGCCTGGAAGACCAGTTTCGTCCAAAATCCGGTGACGAATGTGCCCGGCAACTTGGGGGCGGAGCGATGCCTGAACCACTCGAAACGAGCTTTGTCGCCTGCATCGAGGAGGACGGGATAGTGGCATGCTGGCGAGTATAGGGGGCCAATGATAGACCCATAACCGGGCTTGCCGTTTCCTGGCAGAGGAGTTAGGCGTGAGCGAGGATTCGTTGTGCTACATGCAACCCCGGGCTTCCCGCCAGCTCCTCCTCCACCCCAGATACCATACCCCTCGCATGTGCGTCCGGTTGACATGCATCGGTGGCAAACGGGAAAGCTTTCGTCGCATTTGACCTTTCGGATCCTATGTGCCGGTTGGTGAGCCCAAGGGATTCGCCCACTAGGGAATGGGAGGGATGGGGTGATGAGGAGGTTTCAACTCACCTACAAGTATGGCAGCCGGACTTCACTTTCCGTTTGCCCATGTAGTGCTTACTCTTCGATCTCGGCAGTCGTAGTTCCTGTCCCATAGCTAGAATCCAGTTCTTCCACGGAACGACGAGGGAGATGGAGCATCAACTTGTGATGGTGCTACAAGATTACTCCTGAAGTCCTGTTTATGCTCCAGCTGATATTCAAGTGGGGGCAAGAAAGGATCATTTGCCTCATCCACCAGGCCTAAACCGACCCCTGCTTTATTCGCCAGCTCGGACATGCAATGCCCTGATTGGCCTGGAACTTTACCAAACAAGCAGGGTTCGAAGGGTTCATTCTCCACTTCGCTGTTTAGATCGTGTGGATCCTTCTCCAAGTATCTCAACCTGAGTATCATCCATCCATACGGATGATGTAGGCATGCGATATCTCCGGTGAAGCCAATACACCTCGTTGACGGTGGCTTCGGGTGCTTCCTAATCCCTTAAAACCGAGAAATCGGTCACATCACACGAATGACATGAGTCACGTCACAAACAGCCAAGTGCTGAATAGAAAAGTATATAAGACAACGATTTCCGCTTCATCTGTAGGAAGAATAACTCACCAACAAGCCTCCCGCTTGCTATCGTGCCACTACCATCAATATAAAGATTTACTCTTCTTCAACACTCAAAAAATTCATATTTATCATCCCTCATCTCCCGCCACCATGCCTACCTTCTCGAAGCTCCGTCAACTTGGCAAGAACGGACCCCTCGTGTCTGCCATAGGTTTTGGCCAGATGGCACTTGGGACCGACTTCTATGGAGCTTTCCCCTCAGATGAAGAGCGTTTCGCTGTCTTGGATCGTGCCCATGAGCTGGGAATGACCATGTGGGACAGCGCTGAGTAAGGATCCCAAATCATCACCGATACCTCCTCACTATGTGAATATGAGTCTAACTTGTATTGCAGTCTTTACGGAGATAGTGAAGAACTGCTGGGAAAGTGGTTCAAGCGGACCGGGAAGCGCGATGACATCTTTGTAGTGACCAAGTTTGGCTTCGTCAAAGGCCACGATCACGCCGTAGGCCCCAAATACGATACTTCCGCTGCCTATACCAGGAAAGCCTGCTTGGAGAGTCTGCGCATCCTCGGAATCGATTCGATTGACCTTTGTAAGAGATTTCGTACACTTCTTCGCGTTTTCAGACACTAACGACTCTTGACTGTTTCAGACTACGTGCACCATGCCAGCCCCGTGACTCCAGTCGAGGAGACAATGAGAGAGTTGGTCAAATTGCGATCGTAAGTTCCGATTCCAATGGTTTTCTATTCCGCAAATATTTCTTACTATCTTTGACTGACTTTGTTCAAGCGAGGGAAAAATCAAGCATATTGGCCTCTCGGGTGTTTCCTCAACCACACTGCGCAGGGCCTACAAAATCGCGCCAGTGGCAGCCGTCCAGACAGAATACTCAGTTTTTGCCCGTGAGATCGAGAGCGACAAAGGTACTGATCTTCTCGCCACCGCTCGCGAGCTTGGTGTCGCCGTTGTTGTGCATTCTCCCCTCGGGCGAGGCATCCTCACCGCGAACTTTGGCGCCGGTGAGCCAGCAAGTGACAGCAAGGACAGGCGCCACAAGTTCTTCCCCTGGTTCTCAGAGGAGCATCGCGAGAACAACATAAAAGTTGTGAGCCAGTTCAAAACCATGGCCGAGAAGAAGGGCTGCACCACTTCGCAGCTGGCTCTTGCATGGCTTCTCAAGCAGGGTGATGACATCATTCCCATCCCGGGCACAAAGAAGATCAAGTATCTCGAGGAGAATTGGGCAACTCTCAACGTCGAACTTTCCGATGCTGAAGTGGCGGAGATTGGACACTTTGGCGAAACGGCTGGCATTGGAGGAGACAATAAGATTGCCGTACACAAAGACCACTACTTTGCCAACACTGTGGAGGAATCCTAGGTAGATAGAGTCTGGATTAGCCTCAGAGATTGGGTTTTGTTCTGCGAACGAGCTGGATCGCGAATGACTGGAGATCGGAAGAAGCTAAACATCAGCCGATACTTTCAGGAACTATGCTACCCTACCCTAGTAACTTAGCAATGTGCGACAAGAAAGCTGCCTGTAACTAGAGTGCCAGGGTGATTAACTGCAACCTTGGCGGCTAATGGCGCTTCATAAGAGACAAAGAACTAGCTGTATCTATGTGAAGCATCTTACTTGTACCCAAACTCCAGCAACTCCCGCATGAAGCTTTGTGGTTTTATTCATAAGTACTTTAAACCCCCTCTAACCATCATACGTTGAACTCCTATGTACTAGAAAACATATCCGCTATGATAATCCCCGGCAATCGGCGATTCTAGGCCTGTAAGGTGAGGACTCAATGATACTCACAGCTTCCCCAGGACCGGCGCAGGTAATAGCTCCAGATCTTGGTGCGGGAGATCTAGAAAGTCCCACATGTAGTGAAATCTGTCGCTTCCAAAGAAGGGCTCAGCTTTCCCCTTACCATCATGGACCCAGAACCAAGGACACCCATACGCGCCTAAAGTCTCCGCAGTATGCTTTGTCACATCATTCAACTTCTTCTTAACTTCCGGGCCTTGGGAGTCTTTGAGAATCTTGGGCGCTTGCTCGGCGCCAAAGACAGCCTCCAGGACGGCGAGCATATTTTCCTGCTTCGAAAGGTCCTTGTGGTCGAGCCACAGAGCCTGGAAGCACGCCTTGTGCAGGGCGTCGTACTTTTCTGTATATGCTTCCTTGACGAGGGTGAGGCATCTTTGCGGCTATTCAAGTTGAGTAAGTCGGAAAGGTACGTGTAATTTGTGATCACGGGATATCCATACCAGTAAAGATAAGAAGGGAAAAAACTCCGGAACTTTGAATCTCAATCCGAAGTATTTCTGCGCTCGCTTGATATCATACGGCGAGTAGGCTGATTTGGCAGCGAGAGCCATAGGCGGCTTGTTGCCTTTGTCAATTGTCAGAGAGAGGAGGCCAGTTATGCACCAATTGGGGGGATCTCTTACCCGAACTTGCCATAATTCCACCTAAGAATACCGGGATAAATCTGGTGAGCGACGGTTAGAAGCCAGATAAAGACTCATCGCAAATAGAGAAAGCCTTACTCTATTTCGACATTCAGGTCTTCAAGTGCCTGTTTGCGTTGAGAGAGGTATGAATACGCGAGGAAGCTATAAGGGGAGACTGCGTCATGGAAATGTTAGAATAACGTGCTTGGTGTTCTTTTGCAAGGGCACTCACCGCAGTCGAGATAAGCCTCGATCTTTTTCTTATGCGGAGCCATCTTGTCTGTTATTGGGTTCTGTCGTGATATGTCAAAGGGCTATCAACACAGAATGGCTGAGCACTTCCAATTGATTGAAAGGGAGAGATGACAACATCACATGTATTTATCGCGCCTTCGGTCCCCCTAAAGTTTTAGCCGAGGCGCGACCCCAGACTTGCCTCAATAGTGGTTTATGTAATGCAAGCCAGGGATCATCCGAGCCAATCTCTGCCGCTTGAGCCAGTCTGCCGTGGCTCGCTTCATTCCAATTGCGGGGCTTTCTTCCTTCATCTCACACGGGTCGGCGGCTCGGGATATGCCCTCCTACCGCATCTATCTGTTCTGGCTGGAGTAAGTGTGAGAAAGAATGGCCAAGCCATCGAGCCCGGTTGCTCTTGTAATTGGGGCTTCCCGTGGAATCGGGCGTCAGATAGCCACAGACCTTGCGAGACATGGATATCGAGGTAAGCATTGATCCCTAATGACAGGCTAGAACCAGAGAACTGACAGCGCATCTCAGTGGTTGTGGCAGCCAAGACTGTCAGTGATGCTACCACACAAACCACCCCTTTCCCGCCGGATCCCAACTCCAATGAATCGACCATCACTACCGTCGTGCGCGAAATCAAGGAGGCTGGCGGAGAAGCTGTAGCCTTCCAGGTTGATACAAGAGACCCCGAGTCTGTGAAGAACATGGTTGATTTCACATCGAGGCACTATGGCGCTTTAGATGTGATTATTTATAACTCCGGCGCAGTATGGTGGTCGTCTGTGGAGAAGACGCCGATGAAACGGTTCAAGTTACTTCAAGATGTGAATATCAATGGTCTCTACGCGACCATACAAGCTGCCATGCCTCACTGGAAACAGAACGAGTGGAAGGGACGGATCATTGTTGTCAGCCCGCCCATCTATTCGCGCTTCTTCCGAGGCAAGACAGCATACGCCGCTGTCAAGGTCGGCATGTCCGTGCTCACAAAGGGGCTTGCAATGGACTGGAAGCGAGAGGGCAAATCGGACATGGCCATCTCGTCCATATGGCCCGCAGTGGTTTGTGTTCATGCTCCTTTTCACTTAATAATTATCAAACTCACAGTCGCCAGGGGATTCAATCAGCTGCGACGCCAGACGCCAGGCTTTTGCCTGACCTCCGAAAACCCGTGAGTAGAATATTGGCCAAATGTTATGAAGCGACCTTTAAAGGCTGATACGGTCACAGACAATATTCTCCGATGCCATTTTGGAGATGCTTCGAGCTCCAGCCAATGAGATTAACGGCTCTCTAGAAGTAGACGAGGATTTCCTGCGTACAAGAGGTGTCAATGATTTTTCCAAGTACAGCGTAGTGCCTGGGTCGACGCCAAGAAGGATGCTACCCGCCCAGTTTCCAGATCTACGAGTTGCCGAGGAGGAGGATGAAGGATTGCGCATGGACAGCACGGATGCTCAGCATCGAAAACACAAGCTCTAGGTGTCTCGCCTATTGTTCAACGACTGTACTTGGGTTCAAATGGAATTAAGCAAAAGCTGAATCAAAATGTCTCATCTCCGATACAACATTATTCAATTGAAGTCGACATAACCGTAAAACAACCCAGACAATTTTTCCTTCCATTCGCCCATTTGGGCTCACCCGAGAATTGGATTTTCGAAAAACCCACACGCAGGGTGAGCATAAACTCCATGCTGCAACAATGAAATATCTGCCCAAGAAATCAAGGAAACATCTGCATGTGACATGGAGACTCTACCAGCCCTTCAATCAAACTTCAAAAAGCAACACGGTGCGAGTTATTTCTTCCTTCAGCATGAAGCCAATCTCGCTCAACCTTGCTGGACTTGCTTCTTGTCTTTCCTACTATCCATCTCATTGCAAGAAATCAAGCTGGATTCGTACGTTGTTAAGTTCACTAACCAGTTTCGTCTTTCTCTTCTTCATCAAGATCTCCACCTCGATCATGCGGTTCAAATCATCCTGGAACTGCTGCTTGGCTTGTTGCGCTGCGTCAGTATGGCGGTCCATCTGCGTATACCGAGGCCAAAAATCCTCATTCAACTTTCTTCTGTTCCGTACAGACTCCGCCATAGTGTCTTCTATGGTTCGGATCTCATCCGCTAAACGCTGCTCGGTATATTGAAGCTGGGTGATGCTTGCCATCTTTCCGATTTCAAACCTTATTGACCGAGAATATCAATTTGCTTGACGTTTCTTAGCCTGATAGTATAAAAGGTCAATTTACAGAGTTCGGGATGGAGAAGTTGGGCGTAGCTATCAGTAGTATATGTAGTTTTTAAAAGCAATATTACAACAACTGTGAGTTTTTATGCATTGTACAGAGCAGCGTAACGTTGTTTCCAAATCAATGGCCAGATATTTATCTAAACTGTGATTCACTCAAGTGTCACCCTCTTTTGTGAATCGATACCTCAACTACCTAATATTCAACCTACAATTAGTGCGAACGAGTATTTATAATTCAGTCTCTCATTATGTGCTCGAAGCTACTTAGCTCTTAGTCCACATAGCCAGGTATTTAGCCAATCTATTATTTGTTAAAGGATTGAGACCTTTTGCTGTATGTTTTCGCGAGTGTTATCACCGTCATAGCTCTCAGAGACTATGGCTGTGGGCAGTGTAACGCCGGAGCACCAATGAGACAGTTGTTCAAGCTGCAATTGAACTCAATCGTGAGACATTCCTGTGCAGCATGGCATCGCGGACGCATTGGAGATATGTGCATTCATTGGCTCAATTCATTTCATCATCATCATGGAACTCCAACAATGGCTTACAGTATAACCATCACTTCATCGCTGTCTGTGCAAATCGCCAACTATATTCACATATCTCGGAGCACACATCTTCTCACTTCACGACTGCCATATTACAGAGGAACACTATAGTTCACTAACATATTCATTATCAAAGACGCCATGGTAAAATATACAACTTTCAATGACTCGGACACCTCCACTGGTCCTCTGAAATTCCAGGAAGGGCAACTTGAACAAATGGGGTAAACAAAGAGGATAAGAAAACTAATGCTTATCTCTTCATTCTTAAAGAAAAGGCAGCAACACAACAATCCGTATTCAGCTTTCTCATTTGACAGCCTCAGATCTGAAGAGCGACACGAGCCGACAATAGGAAGAAAATTCTGGACGATGTCCAACAAACCACTTAGCCAACCTCAGACGTTAACTAAGACGAACCGGAAGCGCTTCGAGTGGCAGCACGCGCTCTTCTCAGTACTTCGAAAAGCGAAATAAATGTCATAATAACCATCACCCTGAAATCCGGCCCCAGATCTTGGTTGATCTGCAATTTTGCATGTTCGGTGAAGGTGCCAGACGTGGTACACACAGCAACAACATTGCCACCGCCTCCTTTCATATCAACAAGCTTGTAGCTGGTGCTGAAGAGACCGCCCCGCGCTCCATCGGCACGATGGGTCGATGTTTTCTTCCATGCGAAGGTTCTCCTACTGCCGTCGGGCAATGTAAGAGCCCAGACATGGTGGATTTTCATAGCGCTTTCGGCCTTCATTTCTTCCCACCGCACTTGGCCAGGCGCATGGTCCGTGTTTCCCAAACCAATCCTTATGCTCCGGCCGAGCTTTTTGAAATGGGCGGCTGCCACCATAGAGGTAGAGTTCCTGCTTGAGCCTTGGATGAGAGTGAGGTCCGGCTTTCCAATTGAAAACACAGATATCTCTGCGGTGAATGCTTTAATGTTCCGCTCAGAGTCTTGAACATCATAATGCCGGCCCAGTGTAGGTTTGTGGATTTCAAAATGAAGACAAGGGTGGGTAAGTTCCATTTTGGTAGTTATGGTTGTGGTTACTCAAAGTCCCCTTCATATCGCGATAATAACCTCTTCTAAGACCTACGACATTGAGAGCCAGTAGCATGAATAAATACTCTCTAGCTCGGAAATAGCTGACACACAATATCATACTCCATGGAATCAATGTGCCCAGCTTGTGTGTATGACCACGATTGTAGGATCGGCGGCGCCCGACAGGGCTGAGCAATTGCTTTGGTTTAGGGTAGCATCATATAGCGGCTTCATGCCCAAAGTCCCTTATTCCATGAATCTGAGTGGGATGAGGTCAGGGTCGGCAAACACGGCACGACCCTGATCTACATTTCATGTCCTCTGGGCACTTCCAGCCTGGATGATTGGTCTCGTGTAAATTTTGTGCAGACCACAGAGGGACTTTGGGTTGGTAATATCCTGTCAACCTTGAACCGACCCCATAATGCTGCCTAACATCTCGCATTTGACATCTCCATGCGGTAAATCCTAGCAGTACGCACAAAATGCTGTGCCAGGACTGCATACTCGAGTTCAGAGCAGGAAACTTTCGTTATTGACAGATAATCGTGCGGGGGCGAAATAAAAAACAGCCATTCTGAGTCAGCACGAGAAGGAGACAGGCATTGTCCAGGAAACAGAGTTCAGTGGGTTGCGTCAGCTTTCATTTCCACCACCTCATTCCCGGCAACTTGATTTCACGTCAAAACAACTCACCGCAACAACTCAACCACCCAGAAGAAATGGCCACAACTATGGAAAAGGTAGCTCTCGGCGGCCTGATCGGCATCACATACCTCGGCGGTTTCAGCCGTTTCACCCATGGGCAATATACTCCAGCCTTCCACCGATACCAGGTGGATCGAGCGCCTGACGATGAATCCACGCGACTGATCCCGATTATGGACGTCACTCTCGCAACGATGCTTGTGTTTCCGAGGACACGAACGGTTGCCGCGCTGCTTGGTACCTTCTTCCAGTGTGTCGGACTGGTTATGCGCGTTGCAAGTCGCAAGCCCATGATACCTGATATTCTGCTTGCTTCGGTCACAGGATTCGTTGCATGGTCTTCTTACAAAGTCAATCCGCATTTTTGGTAATCAGTTGGAGGATCTTTTTGTTGGATCACGGCTTCTTTGTCATATAAATCATCATGAATTGAGCTTAAACTTTCCTCCTTCTCATAATGTCCAAGTTGATATGCAGCGCTTGATTGATTCTCCACTTATTTCGCGTACTGCCGAATTGTCCGAACGTGTCAAAATAATTGTCCGGAAATTCCGAAACTCAACGCAATCCCTCCACCCAACGTCTCCTTGCTTGTTCTCCCACCCGCGATCCCGGTGACTGCGATCCCGGTGACTTCGATCTGGTGACTCTTGGTTTAGAGACCATTTGCTCGCGGAACGGGCCTTGAGATGCCAGTACGGGGACCAAACGCGGGCCAATCTGGTCGCAGGCCCGAAGCACTTTCAACACCTCCGCTCAAGAGACGCCGCCGGCCCCCCCTTGCATGCTTTCAATGTAGGAGGAGGAAGATCAAGTGCGATCAGGAGAGACCCTGCAATAACTGTACCAAGGCAAAAATCCCCGACTGTAACTTCCCGCCTTCTGAAATCCCTGGCTCCCTGGACCATGGTCCCGATCTTCCGACACCGCAGACTCAAGCGAGATCAGTATCCTGTGATTCGCCTTCCTCACAGGACCCTTCAGCATTTCCGGGGCAGAGCCACGTGGGCATATTCCCGGATGTAGAATCGGCGATAACTGTTCGGAGCACAGCATCTGCTGCTTTGCCAAGGGACCTGAATACTGGAACACGATCCCTCCCTGTTTCGCAGTCACCGCATGGAGACCAGCTGCTTCAGAGGATAAAGGAATTGGAGGAAACCGTAAAGCAGCTGTCCAATGATCGGGCCTCGACACATAACGCGTCCCATACCCAGAGTCAGGCTGCGACTGGCGGCTGTGACGCCTCAGGAGTCAGGTTTGGTGCCCAGAGCGCTTGGATCAACGGCACCAGCTTGGTATGTTGAATTGGCTCCAGAATTCAAGGTATCACTCTAACAAGAAAAGTACTCAAACATCCTCCGGCCACTTGCGAAGGCTCAAACCGAAAAGTCCCAGCTGCACCAAGCGACCACCAATTTCAAGACCCTCCGTAGACAAATCGACCAGTATTTCGCAGTCCCCGTCACGCCGATAGCCACCGGGACGAGAATACCAGATAAGCCGTTGGCTGATAGCTTCCTTGAGAACTATTTTGATCACTTTGAGGGATGGTTACGGGTTCTTCATGTCCCCAGTTTCCGTTCCGAATATGTAAAGTTCTGGCAACAGCGAGACACTGTCGATCAGATTTTTGTCCTACAACTTCAGGTTTGTATGGCTTTGGGAATCACCGCCCATCCAGACTGTCTTGTTTGGAAGAATGCCGCAAACCAATGGATACACGAAGGTCACAGGTGGCTCCAGGATTCGTTTGAAAGGGCGAAGAAGAAGCCCTCCTTTGAGGAAGTCCAACTAGCCTGTCTTGTCCTAATTGCTGAAGCCAACGCGTCCGAAAATGATCAGATGCACCAATGCTGGGTATCAGTCGGTCAACTTGTGAGACGATCAATGTACCTTGGACTTCACCGCGAACCTCGACATATCCTGCCCAATCCTTCCATTATTCAGGCAGAGATGCGCCGGCGGCTATGGACGACTGTTCTTGAGTTGAATCTCATGCTATCCCTCCAAGCCGGCCAACCAACGATGGTCTCTTCTTCGGATTACGACATTCGCCCCCCATCTAATCTGGCGGATGAGGAACTTACAAATGAGCCGGATGAGACTAAAGTGATAGAATCCAGTGCCAAAAAGCAGACTCGGACAACTCCTCAACTGGCTCTCTTCGACTCATTCCTTCTTCGCTCTGAAATCGTTAATAAACTGAACGGCATTGGCCAAACCATGTCGTATGATGAGGTGTTTCGGTTCCACAAGGATCTGAGCAAAGCCAAAGGAAGAATGCAACAAACCTTCAGAGCTGGCTACACAGCTACCACCTCGACGAATTCTGCCCATAATTCGATCGCGAATATCATCCTCTCCCGTTACCTTTTAGCCCTTCATCTCCCCATATTGGGACATTCAATCAGAAACCCGACATTTCATTTTTCTCGGAGGTTTTGCATTGCCGCCTCGATTGAAATGGCCAAGGTCAGTGGGATTCTAGTCAGCAGCCGCGGAGCTGATCCGCGTGCAAACGATGAGGTGCTACCCTCTCTCAAGAGACTCTTCGTCAACAGCCCGGGTCTATTTCGACATATCACGATCCAAGCTATATTCGCCATTTCATTGGAGCTTGTAACTTCTCAAGAGGAAGAACAGGAGAATCTTGGGGTTTTCCCAGTCTGGGACACCGCCGAGCTATTTCGATCTCTTCAGGCGGCCGAGGCCTGGTGCGCAGATCGATTGCAGGCGGGAATCTCCGACCACCTAGGCTACTGTTTCGTCGGTGCTTGTTTGGCATACGCGCATTCTCTCCAAACTGAGGGACTAGGGACTGATCTTAGTCAGGTCGTTGTCCAAGCTGCATTAAGGAACGTGGAAAACTGTTCGAGGATTATGCGAGATGTTGCCGAGAAACTAGGCGTGCCGGTCAATCAAGGCAATTCCATGACTTCTGGGGTTGGAAACATCTCTGCCTCGCTGCCGGACGTAATGGACATGTCTATGGATCTAACAAGTGGCTTTTTTGGTGTTGGTATGGATGGTTTTGCGTTTGATTGGACTTATCCTTTAGACATTGGGCTGGAGCCAACTTGGGGGCTCAACACTGTTTCTAACACTTTGTGATTGATAGCATGCAAACATCGAAAGACATTTAAATTTTTCAAATTACCATTTCATACACGGCATATACCTTACTTTAGAAGCATTCATTTACTTATATCTAATAACTCCTGTCACGAGCTGTAGGATAATATCCCAAGTCAAAAACTAACTTTCTACACCACTCCCCAAAATCACGGCCAGACAAATACGGTACTGTTTTGAATACAACTATTTTATTATGAAGATGCTTTTACACTAGTTCCCTGCCATTTCGTCGGCCATAGCGTCAAAGTCAACACCATACAGCCAGTGGAGGTCAAAGGGTTCCGTCACGATACTCTCCCCATTCTGAGCAGGCAACCTCCTCTTGTTAATAGCATCGTTGAGCTGCAAAACACCATCGATACGAGATTGACGCTTCTGCTGCCAGTTTCGTAGAACCTCTGGTGCTTCCTGGATCGCCTTCGTTCCAGCCTTGGCTATAACCTTGCCAAAGGTGTAGACATCCTCAAATGCCTGGTTGACGCCCTGACCAGCCGTAGGGGGAATTGCGTGCGCGGCATCACCAAGAATCAGAACACGCCCGCCCTTTGATACCCACGAGTCCAGCTTGGGGATGATGTGGAACCGCCAAATATTGATGGTGTTGGGGTCAATGTGAGAAACGATGTTCTTAACGATGGGTGGATAATCCTCACGCCCAGTGCGCAAGAACTCCACGCACCAATTCTTGTCGCTGAGCAGCTGTTCCCATGCGTCTCTGTCGCGTTCTTCGGTATACCGGAACTGCTTGCCCACGAACAACTCCGAGCCTTCCTTTCGCTGAGGCGCAGCAACGAAAGCGCCGTGGTCCTTGTTCATGATTGTAACAGGCAAGTTGGCTTGACCGCTGGGGTCAGCCTGCTTTGTTGGAACCACAGCAGATATGCCGGCCATGTTGGTGAAGATGGGGGCGATTTGTGGGTAGATGTAAGAACGGACCCGGGAATGGATGCCATCCGCGCCGATGAGAAGGGGTGCCTGGCCGGTTGTCCCGTCCTCAAACTCCCATGAGACACCGTCTTCATCTTCCTTGATGATGCGGGCGAACTTCTTGCCGTAGTGAGGCTTGATGCCAGCCTCTGATATCATGTCGAGCATGATTTGGATCAACTCATAGCGGTAGACTCGCATGCCGCTGTATCCGTACTTCTCTTTTGAACCAAATTCGAATGTGTCGAGCAGCTTGCCATCATTCTGGAAGTAGAGCTTCTCAAATGCGAATCCTCGAGGCTCTAGGCGTTTGTAGATGCCAAGTTTGTCGAGGATCTGAAGTGCGTTGGGTGACAGCATGATAGCCCCCCCGATGTCCAGTGGTGCTGGGCGGGACTCGTAAATAGCAAAAGGGATGTTTTGTTGGTGAAGTGCCAAAGCTAGGCAGAGCCCAGAGAGGCCAGCACCGATGATAGCTAGAGGCTGAGTAGTAGACATGTTGAGATAACTGATTTAAACACTAGCTGTGGGAGAGAATTGAAGAAGCTGCTTGGTCTGTCTGGTCTTTCATCAAACGGTCTTCCACCTAATATATAGATCTGCATCTTTAAGTGCGGTGAGCATGTTGCTTCAGAGAGGGCATGAATGAGCCTAAAATCTGACTGCATGAATTGTCCGCCAGATCAACTAAGCAAATTGTCCGAAATGCTAAAACACCGAATTGTCCATGTCAGAGAATGCCGAATTGTCCGACACGTGCCCAGCCGACAACAATCCGCAGAACTGCGTCACATCTAAGCTTTCAAGATTGGTCATCTAGTGTAGGAGAATTCTTAGTGCTTGATGGACCTATTTATGTCTATGAATTCAAATTGGGGTACAAATAGTCTTGTTGAATCCATCCATCTAGAGGCCTTTTCAATCAGCATCTCATCACTCAAATCCAAACTTCCCAAGCTCAAATCAATCCCATCTATCACTAGTTCTTTACCCTCCTACTCGTGTATTGCTTCTCAAAGATACTCTATACAGCCTCTACCTCAAACCAACATGAGATTCTTCATTATCGGTGGCAGTGGTCGCACTGGGCAGCTCGTTGTTGACGAGGCCTTAAAGAAAGGTAAGCGCAGCCTACCACAATACATATTTTCGACGATGACAACCGACGAGTACTAACTAGTTTGCAGGACATCAAGTGACGGCTTTGGTTCGAAAGAGCGGTTCTCTCAGCGAACGGGAGGGCCTAAGCATCTCCCTGGGCTCGCCTGCTAATGAAGCCGACATTTCGAACGCGATTGCCTCTAGCCCTTCTGCGATAGACGCTGTACTTGTCACTCTCAGCGCACGAAGACTCACCGACAGTCCCTTTTCAGCCCCCGATCCCAACTCGCCACCAGATTTCATGACCATCTGCGTCAAGAACACCTTATCCGCGATGCGAGCTGCTGCACAGCCCATCCCGAAGATAGTCGTCATGTCCTCCGTCGGCACTGCAGAGTCCATCAAGGGTGTCAACTTTCTCATGCGCATGGTGTTCACCCACACGAATATGCGCTTTAGCAGAGCGGATCACGAGGGCGTGGACAGGGAACTTCGAGCCGCTCGGGACATCAAAACTGTCGAGGTCCGGCCTTGGATGCTCACGGAGACCGAGGCAGCAGAGGTCAAAGTATATCCTGATGACGGGACTGGATCTGGGTTCATGCCGAAGATTTCTCGTTCCAGTGTGGCTCAATTCATGGTCGAGGCAGCTGAGGGATCACAGTACGATGGGGGGGCACCGGTCATCAGTAACTAAATGGCAGATATTAGGTTCTTTGATTTTGTTGCTGGGTATTCTAATTCAAGTTTTCTTATATAGCTCTGTTCTTTATATCACCATTGACCCTGGATATATTGCTAGCTACTCAAGCGTGTGAATAAGAAACACCAAGCTTTGTTCCACTACTTCTAGGCGTTGAGCCATGGAATTTCATCCGAGTAGAAGGGCGGCTCTTGAGTTCCACAGAAGAGTCTCTTCCTCCGGAACCTCGCCAAACACGAACCGGACCCATCTCTCGCTGGCGGTGTCTGCTTTTGAGAGAAGTTCTGACAAAAGGTCATCGGGCCGCTCTGCGCCAAGCTTAATCAGAGTATTCACAAACGAGCGCTGCTCGTTATATTGTACCGTGGGCTGATAGAGACTTTCGTGGCGATTGTACCTGCGAGCAATACAATCCAGTATAGAATGGCCCTTGTACTCACCCCACGTTGGTGTCCATTTGATGTCGGCGCCCTTGTTGATGAGTTTTTGAATTGTTATCACCTCACATTCGTCAGTTGAGCAATCAGTATCCGGCGAAACAGTTCGCAACGCGTTGCGACTCAGTGCAATATCTCGCTTGACGAGCTGCTCCATTGTGTGCAATAAAAGGCGAAAGAACAAGTTATTCATCTCGTCCTGGAATACAAGCAAACAGTTTCTTTCTGTGAGCATCACATCCAAGAGGCTGCTCCAACGACTAGTAACGATATCGTGTTGATCTAGACTCTTGATGAGCTGGGTGTTTTTGCGTCGAGTTCGAATGGAAGACAGGAAACCGAGTAAGAGTCCCCGAGATGCCTTCTTGCGCGCAAGGATTCGAAGCATGGCGTAGACCTCATTGTTCAGCAGACCGTCAAGGCGATCCCATTTATGCCAGAACAGGCAAAGTAGCGATTGAGTAGGATAGCCAGCAAGATGGCCGGCGTGGGTGTTGAGAGCCAGACCTCCTTTGTGAAATAAATACTGTAGACCCTCTGAAGGAGACAGAGTTCCGGCTTCCCGACCCCTATCACAGTCCACTCGGAGCACATACGCCATCACAGCGTTCATTATGTACCATTGCCTTGGCCCAGGCAGCTCAAGCTGTGACACGACCGTCGCGTTGATGTTCTCGTGCGCTTCCAAAGACAAATCAATCATATCGGGTACTCCAGAATCGGCCAGGTTATGAGCGGCAGCAAGGACGGATACACAAGCCACTGATTCATGATATGAGGGAACGCATACACCCGAGTGGACAAACGAATAAAGATGAGCGAGCGAAAGATCAGCCGACGCCCGAGTCCTCATTAAGCGTGCCAAAGGAACTGGACCTGTCACCATCGCCATTGCGAGAGCAGATCCGCTTCCCTCCGTACCGTGTCCTCCACCAACGGCAAGGGGGTTCGCTCCCAGGTCCAACCATGCTCGGCAGGTATCCTCGCTAACACGGTTGAATACTGACTTACGGAGGGTTCTATCGAGCTCATTCTGGAAATACGGAATATCTCGTTTTAATCCATATTTCAAATATAGACGCAGCGGTTCCGGCCGCTGGAAGTTGAACAGGCAACTGGCCAACAGTTCCCACCGCTGCTGGCCTTTGTTATCCGCCGGGTCGATTCTTGCGCCAGCACGTAGCAGAAACTCATAGGTGACCAAGTCATCTTGCTGCACGGCAAGCACGAGTGTAGATCTTGTGTCCGGCAAATTTAGACAAGTCGAATGGACAGGATTTTCTGCGATTTCGAAATTTGACCAGACGCCAACGGCGCTCGCGTCAGCGCCGTATGAGATGGCTTTCTGGATAGCCCATGTTTGCCCACGGGAGCAGCCCCAGTACATCAATTGGTCCCTAGCTACGGGAATGGATAGTAAATGAGATTCCCATCTGTTGTTGATGATCTTGCTGCATTGGTTTAGCCTCGCCAGTTCTCGGACCGTGAGCCAGCCCGAGATGTGTAGATAGATTTCGGTTGGAAGTTCGTTCATCGTAATTCGTGGTTAATTGAGAGGATGAATGAAAAAAAAGTCAGCCAAATTCAAAGACCTCTGTTATATTTCCTGCCAGTACCCACCAGCGAGATAGATCCCTGTCATATTGATGACTCAGTGTGTTGCTGACGACGAGCTACAAATAAAGGCAGCTGTTGCCTACTATGAGTCACAGTTCGATCTCTAACATGGGTGTTATGCTTAGAGATGCTATTTAAAAGTATCTGAAATGTAGGGAAGAGGATCGCCAAATAAGCCAAAGTAAACAAGGCCTTGACTCCATTACAAGTGGAAAGGATCAAGATATTGTTATGTGATAGTGTTTACGCAGAGAAAAGGTTTAAGCAGCATATTAGTGCCTTGTTTTCCTAAACAAAGCCCTAATTCACCCGCTTCTCAGAGACATATGTAATGGTCACTGGCCCGGTCAGCCCAACCTCCTGCGGATCCAAAGACCCGTAAACAGCTGGCCAAACCTCTATGAGCTTATTCCAAAGAGTTGTTGCAACAGTAATCTGGAGTTCTAATGAAGTTAGCAAGTCCGCTATGATAAATCATTCAAATATTCTTACCATTGTTCCCATTTACGATGTAGTCAGTCACATCCAAAGGCTCACTTCCAAACCAATCAACTTCAGTCACCGTTTTGCCGTTGATCTCGAGCCCCCAAGTGCCTTCCACATTACCCACATCCAGTAAAACCCGGGTTCCCGTGATATTCTTGTTGATATCGAACGTAGTCTTGTAAGCCCCAATGCCACTAGCGGTCTCTAAGCCATCAATCTTATTCCAAGGACGGAGGTCATTCAAGGTAATGGATGAAAGGTTAGTTTTCGTCGTCTTGTAGGAATCTGTCCCAGTTTCGTTGATAACAGCAGGAGCCCAGTCCTCCACAGACAGCGTCCACGCGAATGAAGAAATTGGGGATGGAAGGTTCTCTGCCGGAGACAGACTGATATTCTTTCTGGTGTTTGTGTTCGCATTGCAACTTGCATTTGAAGCAATGTAAACTGAGCCATCTCTCACATGGCTACGGCACGTTGTTGAAACGAGGTATGTGTCGAGAGATGAGGCGTCAAATGGGTTGTTTTCCCCCAGACTAGATATTGGTCAGAACAATCGGCCACATGAAGATTTAAAAACTCACTAAATGGCAATACTAGCTCCCGATGCTATATTTACGTCCACCGAAGTGTATCCACCCACTATGCTGAAGACTGGCATACTAGAGACCGATCCGGAGAAGAGATCAATGCGGAATGGCTGAGATTCACCTTCAAGTTTGACAGAGCCGCTGAACTTGGTTTCCCCTCCGTTATAAATCCAGTAAACATAGCCTGAATCCTTTGTACGTCTCAGGGTTGTTAGCGTGCTATTTGAGCCTGAAGAGTACTGTGCTAAAGGTGTAACCCCAAGCTTCTTCAAAGCAGCCGGAACATCGGAGCTAGTTCTCGCCGTCGCAGTAGTGTTAAGAATCTTGACGTTGGACAGGACGCTTTGCATATTGCGAGTTTCCGTTTCTCCGTCAGAGAAGTAGCTGAAAGTTGTTGTAGGTAGGTCGCCAACAAGTACAATAGGCAAAGCCTTCTGCCCGTACCACAAAATCAGTTTAGCAGTCTCAAGATTCATGGCTGTGCTGTTAACAACCAGTGCCTTGTATGCTGGACCATTCGGGGCGAGCCTTCCTCCACGAACCCCAACATCATTGCGAAATAAGAGCTCGGGGGTTGGGAACTGGTAGGAGTACCCTGCTGCATTGAGACTAGGATCGTTCCATGCAGCAGTAACACCCCAGTCCTCGTTGAGAATCGCGATGTCTACTGATGGTCCGCTTTCTTGAAGGAGCTTTTGAGCATTCGCCAGATATCCGCTGGCCTCAGTAGCATACTTCCACTGAGGTTGCCGTGGACCCCAAGCGTCAGCGAAACCATTCGAGGAGCCAAACGGAGTGAAGGGAGCATATCCGGGCCAAAGGCTTGTCTGAGACGTTTGATATGGATACCCATGAATGACGACTTGGTTGACACCCAGGGACATGTCATGGTTGGCGGTGCTAAGCAGAAATTTCCAGGTAACGCCGTAAGCTTTACCAAAATATGCGCCCAGTTCATCCGAAAGAACCGTGCCTCCTACAATATCTCGCCCAGTGGCCAAGACACGGAACGAATCCGGGGTGCCGTCAAAGCCTAGAGACTCTCCCTCTGGAATGTCGACCAACGATGATATTAAACTGCTATCAAACGAAGCGGTGTAAGGTTGGATGCGAAGTTTCAATCCAAGCGAGTTCACCCACTTTTGGAGTGGCTTCAGCCGGTAATTGACATAGAGATCTGAGACGGTTTGGTAGAAGTCGTTCGTTATCTGGGCGGCCACCTGAGCATCTCCTGAGAATGTGTTCGTATCTTTCAACACGTAGAGAAGAAATGGAGAGAAATCATAACCTCGACGGGATCTGAATTCATTGAGAAAATTCAATGTCCAATACTGAGTATACTTGAGTTCCAGCGAGTCTTCAAACATAGATCCTCCACTTCTGGATGGCTAGTCAGTTTGCTTACTTTATCAGCGGACAGAACACTCACTTCGCAAGCGCACCTCGCATCTCAGAGGTCAGGATATTCTCGTTCCAGTATTTGACTCCAGCTTCGACCCCGGCCTCACTAAAGTGATCAACGATGTATGCAGGCCATGGATATGTAAGCTCAGGGCCTCCAGTGTTCCCTATAACTTGCGTGAGTAAATCTAGAAATCATGTGGCTTGGGTTATGCCTCACTAAGTAGCTACTCACAGTCGTACATGTTCTGAACCTGGCCAGTGCCTCGGCCGTACACAGCGACAAGAACGTACCTCCCGTCATTGGGTGCATTCCAAATGATTTTGTTATCATCAAAGACTCTATCAGTAAAAAGAGCAATTGAATCATGATCAATTTCAACAACTGATGCCGAAACATTAGTTGTGCTGGTCCTTGCGGTAAGGACAGCCACGAGTCTCAACGTCGCGTTGACATTGTTCACCGTTGAGTTCCCAGACGGGGCAGCTTCTGGCAAAGGAATGCTACCATTGTAAGATTTTCCGGCCTCAATAAAAGTTTGGCCATGCACCAGTTCCTTCATGGTCTCTGGTGAGTCAGGAGTGTATCCGGGGAAACCAGTAGGCCAGTGAGGTCCAAGAGTAAGATCCACGTAGCTGCCCATCCTAGCAGAATTAGCATTTAGGTTACCTTTTGTTGTTTGATAACTTACTTATTTGACTGCGTGTAAGCGGCCAAAAGGCCTTTGTTCCATCGCTCCTGGGCCCATCCGTATATCTTAGGGTCGGATGGTTGGGTGATGCTATCACGAACATCGCCAATCTCGCCACCTCCAAACCCAGAATTGATGATTGACTGGATTTCTTCGGTGACCTCTTCTGGTTCAATCCAGCCACCTGGCCACCACCAGCGAAATCGGGGGCATTGGTATATGGACGGCTTACCAAGCGTAGCCGCCGCATTATCTCTGCGGCCAGTAGTCAAGCCACTTGAAAGATGGCCTAAACACAACAGACCGACAGACAGTTGCTTGAACATCGTGTTGCGGGTCTATACAGGGTCTGCGGTACTATGTGGCACCTCTCGTCATCATCTCAAGGTCTCCCATTGAGATCATATATCCACATTTCGGGTCGCCTAAGCTGATCATCGCTCATCCTATAGAACTCGCTTCGCTGATCAATGTACCGAGGAGTAACGGCTCCTAGAGCTAGATTGAAATATCAGATCAAACGATTTCCACCTCGTGAATATCACCCCCGAGTTGTCGGTCATCAAATTGGGCAGCACGTCATAGAAAAGCTGATATCGTATCACCACTCAGGTTAGAAATCGGACGTGTGCACACCGGCTCCCACGGCAGCTCGCCGCAAATCTACCCCGAACTTCTATTCAACTTCAAAATTGCCCACGTGGGCGTTGAGGTCCTCATAACATCATTTGCTATTCAATCTCGTGCAGGTGGGGAACAATCAAAGGCTCGGAACTCGTGATCAGTTCCGACCCTTTGACCGTCTTGAATCAGCGCAATAGATTGCCTCTCCCCACGTTGCCCCGCGTTTTCACCGTCAAACCTACTCCATTGCTGCCTCGTTGACCAACGAATGGCACTCTGATCCACACATAGTGGGCACTTCTTTCGGGCCATTAACCACCACCCGGTCATGGAAAAGCTTAGCCTAACAACTAGACTTGATCTGCCACCCTCCATTGCTTCATCCCCTGTATTTTGCTTCCAAGGAACACGCGGCGCGGAATCACTCGTCTCTTAATAGCCCGAGATACCAGCCCTGTCCTGGTTTGTATTGGCGCGGATAGAAGCAGCGAGCTGGAGAGTCCAGAAAAGAGAGGGTCATGCTGATCCCAAAGTCTAATATTGAAACCACCATAGGTATTATAGGCTTAAAGACTCTTAGTTTTAAACAATCAATCAGGATAGAGCCGAGATGGATGTGACGGCGTGTCACTTCAAAGGATGGTGAATATCTAATCGATATAAATGGCGATTTGTATCATAGTTGGTGGTACAACACTGGTGAAGCCTGATTTGACTGTACATATGATTTCATTTGAGATTGAACAAGTACTGGCTTCCTATTGGTTTTTTCTTTTATACTAATTGCCATGTAAATAAATTACATATCTTGATGCTATTACTCCCACTTTGCCTTGTTAGCCTCGACAAAGGCCTTCCAGGTAGTAGGCTTTGCATCCAGAAGCTGGAGACTGTCCGCGAGGTCCGCGCCTTGGTAATAGCCGGGATCTTGCAGAAGCAGCATATTGTCGTTCATCTCATCCGCGATTTGTGGGGGCAAGAACGACTTGAAAACATCAACGGGAACCTGGGCGAAAGTCGCCTTATGGCCAGTGACCTCGGAGAATTCGGCGATAAGCTGGTTGGGGCTGATGTACTCAGCGGCAGCCAAAATCTGCCTTCCAGTCGGCTCAGACAGCTTCAATGCCGCTTTGACAAACAAACCTTGTAAGGAAATGTCAGCATCATTATATTCAAATAGGAGGATAGACACTTACCAGTATCTCCAGAAGCGTCAAAGACAGGAACTTGAGCCTTGTCTCCGTCGACAGGCAGAGCCCATGTAAAAGTGCCATCTTCATTCTTTCGGATCATTTCAAAAAGGTTGGACATGTAGAAGCCGGGCATAACAAATGTTGCCGGGACTCCGATCTCGCGGATGTACTTCTCGACGGTAGCCTTGGCGTCAAAGTGTTTGACGTGGGTCAGAGCCCCCTTGCTCGCCTCAGTCACATTGATGAGGGACGAGAAGATGAGATTCTTGACTCCAGCGGCCTTACTAGCATCGGCGACAGCCTTGCCCTGCGCCAACTCGACTTCTGCAGACCCTGATTCCCAGTAGTTGGTGACAATGAAGACGCTGTGAGCACCTTCGACTGCACCACTGATCGTTTCGGGAGAGGAAAGATCCGCCTAGGTGCAATATTAGTTACATGTCTAGTTCAGAGGAGTAAATTAGGGAGTTAGCATACAGAAACCAACTCGACGCCCTTGCTAGCTAGGGCCTTGGCGGCTGGCTTAGACGCATCTCGGGTGACGCCGCGGATCTTATATTCCTTGGAGAGAACAGGGTCGGCGAGGACTGCGCTGATAACGGAACCGCCTTGGTTTCCAGTGGCGCCAAAAACGGTAAGAATCTTGGACATTTTGGTTGGTAGAATTGTGATGAGAATAGGTGGGTTGTTGTTGGTTATGGTGTTGAGCTTGGAACTACTACCTAGTTGTTTGCAGGTGGATTGATTGAATGATGATGTTGTTGAAGGTTTTATTTCGACCATTGTGCAGATTATAGTAGCAGGTTATATACTTGAGGGTCTTGATAACCAATTCACTGTTGTATGTTCGCACCTTTGATAATCAGTCTCTAATCACCTAGTGGAGGCTCGATCTACGATTTGGTTGGAGTTGTCGCTGTCCGAACTGGACGAACTAACAGGTTAAAATGGGGCTCGCTGGCCGAAATTGACCGCCGCGAGCCGAAAAGCGAGTTTGTCAGCAGCGAGCAACAAATTCATGTCTTGGGGACTTGTGATTGACGCAGTTGACGTCAAGTAATGCTCCCACAACCGGTTCACTGAACCCCTACATGTAGACACTGGATCGCCAATTCATCTGCCTCCATCTGCATGTTGCGCAGACAGTCTCTGCTCAAAGCTGAGATCAACATGTCTGTGTCTTGATCACTGATTGGATCACCCACATTGTTACGGTGGGTAACGGTCGATTAGTGAGCAACCGAATGTCTCGGATCTTCAAAGACGAGCCGAAGTTAAGATTAGTCAACTCGGCCACACATTTGCCTACCCTATAGCCAAACTCGCGGCTCTTCCATCTCTTCAATCAGCGTTCGACAAAGAAATTCAAAAACACTCCTCGTGTATGATTAATATCTGGGATCTTATTAGATTCATCTTGGTTCCATTCAGTTTGGAGCGCTTTGAGTCTCGTCCTATTAAGACAATTGTCTAGCATCACGTCAGTAACTCTCAAATTTATCGTATAAATTCATGGTGTGTTCATCAACATTAAATTAAGCAATTTTTCACGGCTTTCTAACGAAAATCTTACGATGGACGAGCTTAAGGGCAATCTAAATCCATGGCCTCCATCGCACAGACCAAGAAAATATCCTGAACACGAACTTGAAAGATCAATTATCTATATGGGCCTTGCATTGGAGTTCAGTGTTGAATCTAATCCGCCATATAAATGTTCCGAGAATATCTATTGGAGTAGGAAATGAACCTGTTAAAAAGAGCAAAAGGAAAAGCTGTACAACACTTTCACTCCAAGTGGGAACACCCGAATAATCATGCCCACTAGGTTGCCCGTCTTCGCTTCTATTTTCGCCATAATCGTCTAATCCGTTGAACACCATTCCGGGCACTTCTCTAGCCCTTGCCCATAAACAAGCAACAAACGACTAAACTCATCGAAATCGGACGGTTTACCGTCGTCAATTAGGTGCACAATGTCGGCACAGCTGAGTTGAAACCTCATTTGCTTCGCATCCTGCATCCGCGCCATCCATGCCTTGGGTGAGGCTGCATCCCACAGGCCCTTGGTTCCGGTGAAACATATGCTCCCCGGGCAAGGCGAATGTCCCTGTTTCAGAATTGAAAAGGCCGCCTCCATCAGTCCTGCGATGATCCAGGTCCGGCGGATCGACTCAGTGAAGATCCATACCCGCCACAAAGAGGCGGGTGTGCCGTCGCAATGGAGCTCGCTCGTGGTTGAGAATGGATGTAATTGATCCATTCTTCGACGAGTCCCAGCCTCCAAATCGGCCTTGGCTTTTTCCATGAGACTGTTAACCCACTGGATCAGGATCGCTGTGGTTGACTCAGCCTCGGCCCGGGATCTGATATCGCCGTCAAAGAGTCGGATAAGCTGGAAGATCAAGAGGGCTTGTGTTCGGCTCAGATGGCTCCGGATGTCATATGCCCCGCCGCTGAAGCCTTCGCATAAGGTTTGGTCTTGGATAATCAGCTTCGTGTAGCTTCTCACGACTTGGAGAGCGATATGTTTATTAGAGCTGGTCGAGTGTTGATAAGCCTGGAAGGCAGCAAAAGCATGCTGTAGGCTCTCCGGTATGTCGCTGCCATACAGGTGGGAGTGGATAAAGTTGGAATGCTGCCCCAGCGTCCATTGACTCACCCACGCCCTCAATCTGTCGACAAAGTACCTCAGACCAGAGTCGGGATATGCAATCGATACTGAGATATCACCATGCTCTCGCAGAATGTCCCAAGACGATGGGTTAAGAAACCAAAGGTTCACGGGGGGGTCAGGAGTCTCCAGACTCTGGGCCTGTATTGACAAAGGCGAGGTCTCTTGTGAGAGGCTGCCTATTGATGACGGAGTGTCTGTGTGCGGATTCCCGCTGGAGGCGGACGCATCAGAGGCGGCTACGATGCGGACCAGGGGATATTCGCAGCGGAGCCCCTTTCCGTAACATCGGCGACACGCGGGCAGCTGCTTACTGCATCTTCGCTTCGACTTGCTGCACGCCACACAAGCGTGCATTCTTCACGATAAGCTGGCGGGTGGTTTGCGCAGGCGGAGAGACGCGTGCGGTCCTGCTCGAGGCTACGGCTTGAATATTAAGTACGAGAATGGGGCGGCGGAGGCGGGTGTCGCGGGCTTTCTCCGCCGCCTTGATTTGAAATCATCCACCATGAGTCCATGCTACCATCATTTCAGCTCACTTTTTGCACGCTATTGGCCAAGCCATCATCCGCCCCAGAGTAAGCCCTCGCTTGCAGACAAGAAGGTTGCGGATGCTCCCGCAGCGCTCACGTGTTTGGACTGCGTGTTGGTTTTGAATATACTGCGGAAACTGCCCGCAACACAAAGAATTTGCTAAGATTGCAACAGATGTCATTACAAATTGGCAGTGTAGACGGCGTGTAAATAGGTCATAGCTGAGGACGGGAGAATATAAATACAATGCGTATTGGCTGATTTGCAGACCGATTTGATACAGTCTCTACACAGAAAACACTTGACTTATCCCTCCGAATCCGATTTTCAAACAGCCCAAAACCGCAATAATGAGCTTGCCCATTCTCAAGAAGTACCACAAGGAGCCATATCCTGCCATTCACCCAACCCGTCCGGAGCTGAGCCAGAAGGGCAAGACCATACTGGTGACAGGAAGCAGCACTGGCATTGGATACGCCATCGCCGAAGCTTTCATCACCGCCCAGGCGGATCGAGTCATTGTCACGGGCCGACGGGCTGGAGTGCTTGACGAAGCTGTTGCTCAGCTCAAAAAGGACGCCCAGAATTCCAGCCCAGCGACCATCATCGAAGCCAAGGTGATCGATGTTTCGAATCTCGAGGATTCGAAACAGCTCTGGGCCCAGCTGGAATCCGACGGGGTCTACGTAGACACCCTAGTTCTGAACGCGGCCAGCTTTGGTCAAAAGAAGCCAATCCTTGAGACCGACTTTGAGGTTGTCTGGAACGACTTTGTAGTCAATGTGCGAGCACCTCTTGACTTGACCCAACGCTTCTACAAGCAGACAACTGGAAAGGGACAAAAGGTATGTTTTGCACATTTTTATATCTTCCAAACCCAATATATAATCTACTTACTCACCTGACCACGAACCCAGTACCTCGTTAATGTTTCCACCATTGCTGCGTACATGTGGGCTTTGGCCGCGGAACGCCCGACTTACGGCTTGACCAAAAGTGCCGGCACCCTCCTTGTCCAGCAGATCGCCAAGGACATCAGCGCGGACGAGATCCAGATCGTCAGCTTCCACCCAGGTGCCGTGAAAACCGAAGCCGCCGAAAGGGATGGCATGGCAGACCTCCCGATCAAATGGGACGACGGTACGTTACGTCGACTTCATAATACGTTTTTGCAGCTGACTGACAACATCGCCAAACAGCAAACCTCGCAGGCCACACGGCCGTCTGGGCGGCTACCCCCGAGGCCAAATTCCTGCACGGCCGCTTCTTCTGGGCCAATTGGGATGTGGATGAGGTCAAGCATGGGGAGGCAGGGAAACAGATTGCGGAAGATGAGAATTTCCTCAAGGTCGGGATGGAGGGTCTCGCGGAGAAGAACGGCGGAGCCATCTTTTAAGTCATCATTCCTCAGCTCACCTCTAGCTAAGAATCGATAGAAGTCAGATTTCCTAGAATGGATAGTTGACGCATGGAGAGTCTGAAATAGAAGGCGAGTGTCCTTGCAGTTCATTTTTCTGTTTTAAATAAGCTTCATCCTTCTACTCTCTAGGATGATCAATAGAACAAAAGACACCTCAAAATTGAACCTTTCAGGCTCGGAATAATATCCATCATTAATTGGCTCTAGGGGGATTGCTGGTCAAACTTCTACTCGCTATGGTCATTAATAATATAACGCCCTCCGATGTCCATTATCTTCCTGAGATAATCGTGCGAGCCTCATGCTTGACAATTGACAAATGCAAGGGCAAGGACATCCAGATGAGCTTCCCGAGAGATTCCATGTTTTCACACCATCTCATGATAGCCAACTGCTTGTCTTGTTCATCATGAGAACGCTCCGGGGATATCAACCACTCCCCCTCGCCAGTCGACACTATCAAGTCTTGGATTTTGAGAAATGGGTATTTTCCCTCGGCATTGATGAGAGAATCGTAGGAGTCCATCCACGCTCTCGTACTGCGCGCCTCCCATAAATCACGACCGCAAGGGAGGGTTGATATTTGGAACGTCTCGCTTGCCCTACAACTGCTTCCGCCCGGCCCGATCATGCCCTCAACCAAAAAGTCAACAACGCTTAGAACTAAAGCAGTCCTATATATGGCAAGTCAGTAGGGGGAATCAGGAGTGAATGTTTATCAAGAGAACTTACCTTCGAATACTCTCTCTCCAAATCCAATCCGCCCTTCGAGGTCGCTCGTTTTCCGGCTCAGAGCGCCATAAATGATACCGAACGAGTTGCCCGACAAGTCCCTGATCAAAGGTCAACATTACGACATCTTTTAAGTAGGTGGATAGGTACTGACAGTAACTATTCTCACGAGATACAAACCCCCAGTTTTCTCGACAGACGCCGGATCCTCGGCTTGTAGGAGTAAGAGGATTACTACCGACTGCAGACCCTCAAGCTGCTGCTGACTAGTAAAAGACGCGTACTATTCAGTCATCAGCTCTATTATCCACCCTCAGACCCAAAAATAAAAGAATGAAATGAAAGAGAGGATTTACCTGTTGTACGATCCTCTCCCCTTCATCATGTATCGTTTTCCACACAAATTCGGAATTCTTCAAATTCTTGGAGTAAAACATCTGAACCAAGCTCGCACATATCGACAGCTCGGTGGAAAAGCATACGTGTCGCCCACTGACACGGCAGGCGGGGGCTAGCTCCTCATCCAAATAACACCGTGGATGTATGAACGGAGGCAGCTTATCTCCTTCTATTAGCATCCGCGGGTAGCTCTTGAGCTGGCCGAGGACGACCGACGCCAGCACATCCTGACCGCCTATCCTGCGTCGGGAGTAGGCCTTGCCCAGTAGAGAACTGTCCGGCGCGGTCACGAGCTGCATGTTCTTTTGCTTCCGAGCATTATCGGCCTGCTCAAGCAGCCAGAGATCCTCATTGACGTTCTGCTCGACTTCCTTTATGATCTCCAGGGGTATGCTACTGGGCGGGCTGGACTCGTTCACACCATGCAGCACGCCAGTTGTCGAGGTCCACGCCGGCGAAGGAGAGGGCTCTCCGGTCCGGAATATGTCGCCAGGGGAGATGTCATCGATGGGGCCCGAATGGAGCCTATTCGGAGTCTGTAGCCGTTGTGCAGGACGAGGGCTTGCCTGAGGGTAAGGGGCGAGACGTTCGGACTCGTAGACGCACCGCACATTCTTGTCGAGGCATCGGGAGCAAGTCGGGAGGACCTGATTGCAGCGCGTCTTTGCCTCCCTGCACCGCACGCACGACTTTTTACGGGAGAGGGGCATCGTTCGTCTTGCTTGAGCCGGTGTTCAATTAGGGCGAGACTTGGTTTGTTTGTAATAAGAAAACCGGCCCCTCCGCGTCTGATCCGGAATCTGTCACAGCCAAATTCAAGCTGACGCCACCCAGATTCCGGATCTAAGCTGGATTGGGAAGCAAAACTCCACCTGAACTCCGCGGGGGCATTTGTAAGTTGAAGGTCAAGTTGGATCGAGAGTCAGTCGCACTTTGTCCAGTCGGCTTCTCAGTTGCAATACGGAATTCCGTTTGAGTAGAGTATTCCAATAGACCAGCAATTTTGATTAGAAGATTCCAGTAGACCACTGAGTTTGATTAGAGCCCTGTAGTTGACCATGACGAAGTACTTAAAGCTCCTGGAACAGAGCGTTTGTCGAGGAATCTACTCGTCAACACCAACAAACAGCAATTCAGACAATACTTCAAAAATTCACTCCAGAACTCACTCCAGAACTCAAGATGCGGTCCCTCGCTACTCAAAAATTTGGCAAACCAGAAAACTACGAGATCCTCGATCTCCCTCAACCAGAGATCACGCGCCCAGATGAAATCTTGATCAAAGTCCACGCATCGTCAATTAATCCAGTCGATGTCAAGCTAGCCACTGGAATGGCCAAAAACATGCTTCCCTGCCCGTAGGTCTACAGTGATTTGTCCTACTCTGCTGATTGATCCCAGCTAACAATACCTCACAAACCAGACTTCCTTTCAAACTTGGATACGATGTCTCTGGAACCGTAGTAGCCGTCGGCAAAGATGTTCCCTCAACTCTCCAACCTGGCACTGAGGTCTACAGCCGTGTCAAGGAAGAATATCGAGGCACGACGTCCGAGTTTGCGATATCTACAGTGGATGCCACCTCCCCCAAGCCCAAATCCCTTACCCATATCGAAGCGGCATCACTACCCCTTGCATCGTTGACGGCCCTGCAGGTCCTGGACAAAGCGGACAAGTATTTAGTCGGGGGACTCAAGGGCAAGACCGTCTTCATCCCGGCCGGTCTGTCAGGAGTAGGCAGCACAGCAATCCAGCTGGCCAAGCGCGTCTTCCAAGCGGGAAAAGTCATCACCACCCTCTCCACGAGCAAGATTGCTAAGGCAGATGGCTTCCTTGGCGTAGGTGCGATCGATGTCGCCATCGACTACACGAAAGACAACTATGCCACAAAGATCGAAGCAGGTTCGTTAGATTTTATGTTCGACATCACGAATCAATCGATGGGAAGTCTCCACCTCATGAAGAAAGGGGGCTTGATTCTTACCGTTGCTGGAGCTCCGTTTGGCGAGATGCTCAAGGTCATGACGAGTCTGCCTACAGTAGTCAGATATGGCCTGACAGCCTTTGGATCCTGGCGCCAGTTCAGGGCAGGCAGATACAATGTCGGCTTCGACTACATTCCCATGCACCCGAGCGCAGAAGACCTTGCGAGGTTGGGGCAGTGGGTGGATCAAGGAAAGCTCAGAACGGTGGTTGGCAGGGTAGCAAAGTTGACAGACGTGGATGCGGTCCTAGAAGGATGCCAAGAGGTGTTCAGTGGCAAGGGAGGAATCGGCAAGTTTGTTATCGAGGTGGAACAGTAATTATTCGCCCAGACGGCGCGGTCTCCTTACAATGTGGTACTCTTCGGTTTACGGTCATAGACAGCTACTTCACATTTTCGTTCACTTATACCTTTTTCTTTCTGTTAATCACAGGTTTCCAGTCAAAATCACAAGTGATTAGATATAAATCATCACTAATGTCCGACCAGTCTCTTTCTCTCATAAACATTGTGGATCATATTCCCATATTTAGATGTCTGATGTTCTTCTCCCCCCATTATATACAATTGCTCAGGGAAGAGTGCTGACTCTCATATCTATCTCTATTCTGATAAATGCATTATGGCTTGCAGGTGGATGCAGTAGCACAAGAGATTTTGAAGTCGCGCCATCACTATGTAGAGAATGATGCTGAAACTGGACTTTCACCACAGATCACATGCTACCCTTTCATCGATTTAAAAGGCCAGGCAATGAGGTTCAGAGCCTGGAGCGGATCATCCCCGATCCCATGGTTATCCTCCCACATCAAATCGGGCGAGAGAATCTTGACACCATTCCGATCACGGCAAAGGTGCGTCAAGAGTTTGCGCATGCCTCTGGTCCGTCGTATCTCGTACTCATGAACGCGACCAAGCCATGTCTCCTTGGCTTGCGGATCCCATACATTCGTCATATTGAGAAACCCAAGGATAATTGCGGCCATACCCACCGCAATGGGAGTTGACACCGAGGTCCCGCTCATCTTCCGAAAGCCGCCTCCTAGGTTGGTTGGCCACTGGCTCCAGACTTCTTCCCCAGGTGCCACAAACATTGGGAACTCCGGGCTTGGTTGAGGAGCAAATGGGGATAACTTTTGAAACTTGTCGCTGGAAGAAATACAGATGGCAAGGTTTGGACTACGCGCCGGCCAGGCAATGGCATTATTGTTACCGTGGTTTGCAGCGGCGGCGAACACGATGATGCCAGCATTGACAGCATCGTCCAGAGCACGGGTTAATTCATAAGAACCCAACTGGGGGAATCCCAATGAGAGGTTGATGATGTGCACCTTTTGCTCTATTGCCCATCTTATTGCCTAGGGGTCCGATTAGACAAGCATTTTCCAACGGAGCAAGAAGTTGTGGGTTCAGCGTTGTTTACATACCTCTTCCACGGGACGACGAGACTTTCGCTTGGCTGCTTTCGAAGAGATTTTCCCTGCTTGCTGAGCCTCGGAAATCTCCTTGCCCGTGCTCACTTTGGCAATGTACAGTTCTGCCCGGGGAGCAACAGCCATGATCAACCCTGCGATGTGTGTTCCGTGACCGAATTCATCAGTGACGTCGTTTTCCTCCCCAGGTTCGCCGACAAAATTCCGAACCGCGACGATTCTCTCGCGTTGCGTCTTCTCGGGGATGCCCTTTGCCCTCTTGCGTCCGATCTTGGTTCTTCTCCTTGCGGGCTTGGTGAAATCTTCGTGCTCGAGATCCACCCCCGTATCTAGCACTGCGATCTTGACGGGGCCGTTCCAGTGGAAGCCGGAATTTATCGTGGCCTCGTCATCATCAGGCGTCCACTGGATTCTGTTGTACCACGTTTCCTCCAGAGTTGCAAAGAAATTGTCAAGATATGGATCTCTATCGGCTGGTTATTATGACGAGCTTCGTAGCGGGTGGGGATATGAGCTCACTTCTCAGGGGCTGGCGTCGAACCAGTTGTTACACTTGCATCAGTAAGCGCAAACATTTCGCCTATTCGTGTCAGTCCCTCGTCATTAATCTCCTATAGATGATGAGGCTTGCCTTGGACTTGCTTTACTTCTTCGCTTGGACTTGGTGACGGTGTCCTTCGCGGGCTCTTTGGCGGTTTTAGCATTCCTCCGTCCTTTGTCTCCGTTCTCCCCTGCCTTGTTTCTCCGCTAGCCTCCAAGTTCAAAGATTCCATTGGAATATTCTGGTTTGGTGGGTTTGTCTTCTCCTGACCGGCTTCCGAAGGCGGGACGAATCGAACTGCGAGCCGCAACGCCGTTTGGCGATGACCATGTTTCCGAGCGAGCTGTAGGGCAGCCTCCCCTGCGTCATTGGTGATATCGCGATTCGCCCCCTTATCAAGCAGTAACTGGACTATTTGCGTCTTGTCATACCTCGCCGCGAACATCAGCGGCGTCCAGCCCTCGTTGTTCAGGCAATCCACCTCTGCCCCATGCTGCAGAAGCACCTGGACGCACTTCTCCATTCCATGTCTTGCCGCCCTGTGAAGGGGATGCCATCCTCGAGGGCTCGCTGCTTCTACCGCGTACGGGTCGGCGTGCAGCAGATATGCGACGGCCATTTCCAGGTTCTTGTCGATCGCCCAGTGGATGGCCTGGCCTATGTGGGTTGGAACTTCTTCTTTCCTGGAATATTCCTGGAGGAATACGTTGTGGTTACCCTTCGCCTTGGCACAGGAGAACACATGGTCGAATCTTCTTCTCTCAGTCATTGATAGGTTCTCAAGCAGCCTCTTGGCTGTGATCCCTTCCTTGTTCCTCATCGTTGCAGACGCCCCGTGGAACAGGAGAAGAGCAGCACACGGGATGCTCCGAGCCCGGACGGCGAAATGCAGAGGCGTGTCGCCATTCGCAGACGCAGCGTTCGGATCTGCTCCGCTAAGGAGAAGCTTCAGCGTCGTCTGCGCCGACCACAACTGCGCGGCCACATGAAGTGCCGTGATCTCCCCTCCGCCCTTTTCCCTCTCGTCGGGCGCCGTCTTCGCATGCACATCAGCTCCGTTCTTTAGCAGCGTGCTCACTACTTCGCGCCTATTGTCGAAGGCGGCGAAGATCAATGCCGTCCATTTAAATGAGCTCCGTGAGTCCACTTGGGCGCCTTTGGCGAGCAACTGCGCAACGATCTGGTGCAGTCCCAGCTGAGCCGCGTTCTGGATCGGAGTGCGATTTCTTTTGCGGCCGTCTTTATCTCGTGCATCGCGGCAGTCCTCGGGGTATAAATCGAGAAGCTCCCCGACAACGGCGGAATTGTTCTTCAATACAGCTCGATGTATGGCCGTCGCTCGATCCTTCTTCCGCTTCTCGAGATCCAGGCCATTTTCCTTGAGGAATTTCTCGAGCTCGGCAGAAGGGGCCATCTCTTGATTTGCTTGTTTCTTTGGGGAGAGTTGTGCCTCAAGCCAAATCTCTGGGTAGGAGGGGATTACTGTGAGCTTACATGCATCATGCATGATTAGTCGGGTCAGACTGTAGGGCTCATGACGCCATTGGACACATCCAAGCTGCCCCTCTCTGATCTGGCCAGTGAGATGTCAGAATCAGTTGGTCATTATCGAAAACCCCGGTTGGGAGCAGCTTACGCCCCCGCCGTGAGAGAACTCGTCCAAATACCCGACCCTGATTGAGATCTCGCTTGGCTTCCACCAAAATACTGACAACTGGTCTGTCTCGTTCCCAAGACTTCGGGGTTTTGCTATCCGTCATCAACAAGATCCATCAACAAGAGGGAACAATGAGTTTCGGAGACACCACGAAGAAGTACTGGATCGTGCCCTCAGCGACTCTTGGCCCCGAGGATCTAGTCCTCGGAACTGTCCTAAGGAAGCCAAACAACGTGATCGAAGCTCTCAACCGCAATGCCGTCGAGCCCATCGAGATCGGTCACATCATCCACGAAAAGGAGCAGGTGAAGAAGAGCATCGGCAACGCCTTCGACGTGGGATTCGGCGCCGAGCTCGGGGCGTCCTCGGCCCTGGCCGCCATCATCGGAGGGGCCCCAACAGTAGAGGGGAATTGGAAGAGTGGGATTTCCAACTCCATTGAGGCGACCCAGATCCGGGCTTCGCATTTCTCGCCCACGGCGGATTATGTGAACAGGGCGCTGCAGACGCCGGAAATCAAGGCCTATGTGCGCCAGTCCTTCTTCACTACGCCTGTTTACATGGTCGTTGGGGTAGCAGTCGCGAGCTCCGTCTCGAGAGAGTTCACTAGGTCCAAAAGTAAGGACGGAAAAGTTGGGGCGGACGTTGGCATCGCGGGTACTGGCTTGGATATCTCGGCTTCTGTGTCTGTAAATCGAGGGTCGGAGCAAAAGTACGGTGATCAGGTGGAAGGGGATGTCGTTCTGGCGTATCGAGCTCGCCGGTTCAGGTATTCGAGGAGAAAGGAGGTCTTTGTGAGGAATAGTGAAGATGAGAAGAAGCATGGGAAATACAGCACAGATCAAGGTGAAGAGCAGAACAAGGACGACGACGATGAAGACGACGACGACGACGATGACGAGAACGAGTTTGCCGAGTTTTCCTATTTTGAGGCAAATGATGTTTCGGCTACTGAGGCTGGTGCGGCGGGTTTTGAACAGGACGATGAGAGCGAATAGCGTATCTTGTGTGCAAGCCTTGTACTCCAAGTACAGATTTCAGGCTTTAGGATCAATCAAAACGTAATTTTGAAATCGAAAATATCATCGTGGTCATAATTGATGCCTATGAGTCTCTTATCGCCAAATGCCAGTCTATGCATTCCATAAGCCTCCCGCACGTGTAGATTACACATGTGACTCTCCGGTCTTGCCCATAGTTCCATAGTCATATCCTCAATATTATCTACTAGCATTAGAGAACTCTCAGCTGCAAGGCAACCACCTAAGAGCTACCTTACTAGTCCGCCTGGGGTGAGGAAGAAGCTGTGCTGCGATGTTGGCAATTCTCGTTCATCCAACTCTTTCCCCCAACCACTCAAGCAACAGACATTGAACATGGCACATTCAGAACCTCCAGCGTTGAATCTCAACGCAACATCAAAGCAATTAATCAATAATAATAAACACAATATCGAGCTATTCTTAATATCGCGTTTAGTATTGTTGATAAGAAAATGAGGTCCCTAACTAGCGTGAACAGAGCTTTGGTGTACCATGTTTTATGTCAGTCAGTCCCTTGCCACTCACGACGGAGTGACGGGCCCAGTGTCGGAGTGGGATATGGCAGACAGCAAGTAACTAAGTAGTATGGATAGCTTTCATGCTGTTAAAAGCAGCCAGGATTCGCCCCCGATTCTCATCTAGACCAATGTCTAGGTAATAGTCAAAGCTTCCCTGAAGCTGCCCATTCCAATAGCCAACCATGCTATCGTCCCCTCTTTTATGCATCCAACAACAAATACTTGCCCCAAACATGGTGCAAGCATAGGTGACGTCGACTGGTGGGTTTGCGGAGAGAAAGTCGGTGCAGTACCCGAGGGCTTGGGACTCGAGTGCCCGGACCAGGGTGTCCGCCGTGTTGTCTGCGCTCTTTGTCTTTGCGAAACAGGCAACCTGCCACGCGCCCTGTGCGGTCAGGTGCTGGATCACCAAGTCACAGGCTTTCTGGCTCCCAGACTCTGGCGGCTGCTAGGAAAAACACATGAAGTTGCCCGTAAAAATGTGCCGATGGAAGAGGAACTCGAACAACCGCACTGTCAAATGAGCCTTGGGGGCGACGAGATTTCCGTCTGGGTCGAGAGTCACCTGGGCAGTGCGGTAAAGCGACTCCATTCCCCATTCCAAAACGAGGCCATGTGGTTGCCAAGCTGGTTGAGCCATAGTCGAGGTGGTGTTGGAGAGAGCTGCGCCTATAAAGATGGTACTGTGTGATGAGTCACAAACGAAATATAACCGGTGATGAAGAAGTTTAGGTTTCGACTCGGAATTCAGCTCTCAGAGGGACGTCAGGCTGAGTTATGTTTTGCTGCGGGTGTAAGTAGCTTTATGGCCTATTCCCTTGCCAACGAGCGCTTTTCGTGGTAACATCGTTGCAAAGTATCATAAGTGATTGGATCAAGATGGATGTCCACATGTCGGAAGCAACGTAGGCGCATCGTTAAGCGCCGCCACACTCACCCTGCATGAGAATGGATCCCAGGGTTCAATCTGTGGCGCCAAATCCCTGAGAAGAAGATTTCATTGTTCGCTGCTTGTAGTTATTTATCCATCCTACAATTAACCAGCGGCCTCCTCAGAACTCCAGTATTATGGCGCCCCGAGCCCATATCCTTCTTGAGGAGTATTGCATATTCTGTCGCTATGGGTCGCAAAACTATTCCTCCTCTCTTGGTGATCCGTCGGAAAATACTGAATGGGAGCGATATTCCTTTTGCTGCAAGTCTGACCACCACCGGGGGAAGCTGAGATACGCGACGTATTTGGCTAACTTTGGGGGATTTACAACCTTTAGTTCTCCAAATTCCAGGCGGTGAACTTAAAAGCTCACACAACCACCTGTTTCGTAACAACACCACGATGAAGAGCCCATTTGTGGAAGTAGATACCAACACGCAAACGTTGCTATACCCTGCCAGGACAGAGCTATGCTTTGGATGTGATGGCTGCGCGCCTGGTCTGGATACGCTTGCAAACATGGCTCATGCTTCGTGCCTTCAGCTTGCCAAAAAAGATGATGCCTTTTCTTACCACTGGGATGTTATGCCGTATTGTCTGGTTCTTACAGCCAGTGGTTCCTTGGAGCGACTTGCGTCATCTGAGTGATCACAGACCCAGTCTACGTATTCTTCCTCGGTCCGAGATTTTGTACACAACAAGTCTTGGTCGCTTAATACAGCGGGTAACTCAACTACCCCTCAAACTAGAAAGGATGATTCGTGATCTTCTCCCGCCGTCGTTGTTCACGTCCCTTGCAAACAGCATCGAAACGTTAAATTGGCTGCAATCCAACACCAAAACGTGGGAAAGTCCAAAGCACCGCCCTAAGCTGGTTTCTTACAGCTTACCTGAACTCCCATCATCTTCAAGCAGTATTCTTGGAGTGAGCATGATATCGATCCTGGGAGAGCGTTGTTTAAAGCACGTGGGACTGGGTACTAAAGGAACCTTTGATCTGGAACTACTCTTGCCTGCTAAACCTATCCAGGGAGTTCAGTTTGCGTTGGGAACATATGGTGTGATTGCGCTTAGAGTGCTCTACGAGGAGGGGTCTAGTTCCTCATGGGTTGGCCAGCAAACGCCACAGAAATGGTTCCGTTCTATCAAAACGAGCGAGCTCAGCAAATTACAGGTATATACTGATGTTCGTACCACTCCCACTTCCAAACACTCATCTCCGTCCTGTAATGCTGATATTGGCTATAACAAGGGTCTTAAGCTTCTGTCTATGGACGTTTCTCCTAGTGCGAAGGAAACCTACGACCTTCAAACCACCCGAATTATTTGGGATCGAGACATGGGCCCTCAAGGATCTACTTGTTTCTCTCTCGCCGAGAAGAGTGATCTTGTAAGACATCCACGCATTCGTGGTAACCCAAATACACGCTATGGATTCTACTTGCCACTGAACTTGGGCGGCCCAGTCAAAAGCCTCACAGTATTCTGCACTGTAGTGGGAATTTCTTGTATTCAGATCAATGGCGACGTCAAGGCAAGGCTAGGGAAGCCCTCTGACCTCTCTTGCTCTCTGACACGCCATTTTGGGCCTGGCGAAACCATTGAAAACCTCTATGCGGTTACCCGAGGCCCCAAGGATCCGTTCACTGCGCAGGGCCCGTATCTTCTGGTAGATATAAACCTTCTCCTCTTCCCGCGAGCCTAAATCATGATATTCCTGTTATTCTTGTCTGCTAATTTCCTCCGTATCTAGGCTACAACATCCTCGGGCCGTTGCTTGTACTATGGTCCGTACAACGCGAACTATCACATGAAGCTACAGACGCATCTTTCGGCTCTTTCTCCTCAAGGAGACGACCATGATCTTCTAGGAATTTTCACTGATCCGATGACGTTCAACCCCTATGCCTATCGCACTTTGGGAGTTGTACGGCAGCCAAGGAACTCAGAGAGCGGCCGCAAATCAAAATCAACCATACAGCTATCCATCCCCACAGCCCGTCACTATGATCCTTCCTCACTCGCGGCTCACTCTATCAATTGTACATTTGTGAATAAGGCCTGCTTTTCTGGGGTCAAATATCTGCAAGTACAGCGAGTTGGGCCCCGTTGCGTAGGTATTCTGATCGCGTCTGACGATGGAAGTCTGAGTACGCTTGGACAATGGGACCCAAGCCAATCGGACGAAATTTATTCCTTGTATCAAGAATCGGAAGGGCCTCTTAAAAGCATTACCTTTGTCTATTCCAGTACGGAGGAGACGGTGGAGAAATATGTTCAAGAGATTCTTGTGAACGAAGACGAGTCCGATTCCATCGAACGCCAGCGATTCACCTGCAACAATCCCAATATAGTATTCTCCAATCCCCCCTTTCTCACTGTTTGATGCGATAGTAACAAAATATTAGGAAATCGCGTGGTGGTTCACCTACACTTGGGATCAGATCATGATTTGGGATGGGTATGACATGGTCAAAGACGATGTTGCCGCTTTGCCTTTCAGTGTGGTAGCATAACAGTGGTATGTAATGGCAAAATTATCGGCTTTCAATTACATGTCTCTACATATGCTAAGTCAAATGGAGAACATCTCTCATCTGAACCAAGACTGAAAAGCGGCGAGAAAATTGCGTATTGACGAGTAACTCCCTGTCTCATTGGGCGAGGGGCATACGAGTTTTGCGATGTAGATTAGACATGGGAAGACTAGAAGGGATCTTGTTCATCCACCTGGACTATAGAAGCAGTTGCTCTTCTCTCTCATTATTGAATATCTTTGAAATGATGTGAATCCCCGGATCCGAAGAATTTCACGTACCATATGTTTAATAATAGAATTATAGTAAATAAGGTTCTGCATTAACTCCCGCTCAGGGTGCGTAACGTTTCATCCTTTCATTTGTACTGCATGTATGGGCAAACTCCGCTAGTTCCGAGGCCTGGTCGATAATAACACAGAGCTGGTCGACCTTCATTGAATGGTTCTCTCTGTTCTTATTCCAAGGGCACAGGCATCTACTTCACTCCATCCGGTGGGGAAAATAACGTACCAAAGTTTTACAACGACAATACCATAGCGAATTATTTGGCAATATATTGACTCCAAACAATATTTTCATGCTAGACCTTAACAATAGGCTTGCTCAGCCACCTCTGCGTGATCCAGGAGGGCAGCCCTTAGGGCAGGTGGCTGGACATGAGACCGAGGTGGGCTCACGAGCTTCAAAGTCTGACATTACCGCGCATCTTCACTACTCGATTAGGCATTAGTTTCTGGACCTGGCTGGCTGTTGAAACGACCAAGTGGCCGATCAGATCGATGCAATTATGCGCCACTAAATTACCACGGTGCTTAATACTGTCAGGCGTCATCAGCTCCGTCTGCGGTGGAGAAGATACGCGCCGGGGAGTCGATCAGCAAGGGATGGAAGCATTTCATACACTGTATGCGTCCAGCGACCAATGACTTCCCCATTTAGGCTTAATGTTCGGCATGCATTGTCTGAGCAGCGGCAGGGTCCTGTCATCGCCGTCCAGCTGCCGAACATGGATTGATTTCGCGTTCGAGAAGCGATGTAGAACTCACGGTAGGATGGTAATGTTCAGTGGGTTGCTTCTAATGTCCACAGGGGCCATCGGGAAGATTAAGAAAGTACATTTTAGAATTAAGTGAAGTACTTCAAGCAAAATTATCAATAATGTAGAAGAAAAGCAAGAAGAAAGACCCCTGGATTGATCTCGTCTCATCTTTGTGTCCTGGCACCTGGAGACTGGGCCGTCAAGCCTGTGCCGGCAACGCATCAACCCCTATTCTCATGCTCTGCTGATGAGCGAAAAGCTTGGCTGGCGGCAATGGCTAGTGGCTCGGATAGTCCATAACTAGCTGTCTTACCACGTAACACCGGGCCAATAACCTCCCTGATCGGGCTGGACGCGTGGGCCAGACTGAGGCCAATGGCGGCTCCAAGGCCCTCTAAAGAGCAGGTCAAAGAGGGCGAGCCCCTGGCGCGCTGTGAAACGTAAGCCAGCGTGGGCATGGGGCCATTGGTTGGAAATCACCGCGGTCATGCCAATCCCACTCTGGTGAAACGGCCATCCCGGTTAGCCCCTGACGGTCTCAGAACGCCAAGGGGAGAGGTGAATTGAAACATCTTGATAAGAAACTGGCTCCAAGTGCTGTTTCTCTTCTTGATCTGCCCGGCTTTGTTCTGTCTCCTCCTCACGAGTCAACTGTGTGTTGCTTTACCTTCATTTTCTTTCCGTTTTTTTGTTGCCAACACTGGATTGTTTGACACCATTCTTTATTTAAACATATTGATTCACGACTTATCAACACCAACCTTCTTTACATATCGCATACATACATTCATTTAAGACTCGAACCGAGCAAATACCGCAATCATGATTGCAAAGGCACTCCTTGCATCCATCGCGCTGGCCGCCTCAGTCTCAGCACAGACTTTCACCGACTGCAATCCCCTTGAGAAGGGTAATGACCATATACATGACCAATGCCTCTGGATTCAAGAATACTAACACGATGAATCAGATTGCCCTGCTGCTGCCGCCGTGGGCACCCAGTCGATCGACTGTGACTTGACACAGGGTGCATGCGCTGGCTTCAATGTTCTGGAGGGTACCACCTTGACCTATGACTCCAAGGGTGCTCTCTTCTCTATCGAGAACGACAAGCAAGCACCTACCAT